TCTGAAGGGCTATTTGTTATGATATTGAGCCGAGAGGGTAAGAAGGGCCAGGAGGGCAGGGGCCTCTTGATTTATGGAGTGACCGTCCAGCTTGTACTGCGTGCACACACACACACACACACACAGTTCCTCGTTTACAATCACAGATACATACATACACACATATCAGAAACCCACATTCACATTTACACACACTCTCAAAGAGCACATATCACACATTGCTTCCAGCTGGCCCCAGGTTCCGGCGAGAGTGCTCCCACCCCCTTCAAATACACACACACACACACACACACACACCAGGCAGCCGATAGCTCACACATGCCGCACCGGACGAGAAAACAGCGGGAACGTCTAGATGTTGATACGAGACTGGACGGCACCAGAATGCTGCAGCTGAGCTTTCATTTATCTGCTTTGTCAGAATCACTTCAGGTCTTATTTATTCATGAGGCGCTTTTATATCAAACAGGTTTGTCATGGTGGTTCACAGAGAACAAAGAACTCTGAAAGACAAAGCCTTTGAATTAGTGCTTTTAATCACACAGAGACAAATATGAAGAGGAATTTCTCTTTGTGGCATCAGTGCAGTCAAAATGGCACACAGTCGTCTTCTGCTGTATTCATGATATATTTCCTGTACGGCTAGACCAATATATGAGGCCATTGTTGGGCATTGTTTCATATCTTACGTCATATTGTCCAAAATGCAGATTCTTCTCTGACCACAACCACATCAACAACATCAGTGGTTGTTTCATGTGATTTGTGTGATGGTCTGAATGTTGTTGTGACTGGCTTGGAAAGGGTTTTTTAATTTAAAGATGAACATTGGTAAATGTTATGGCAACTTGATACCATCCTTGCTAGTCAAAACCCACTTGCTGCTGAAACCCTGATTGAATAATGAGCCTACTTGAGAAAATTCCTTCAGCATTCTTAGCAAAAAGGAGTCAAATTAGACAGATTGCAGATGGAAAAATATTTAAAATCATTGTGTATGTGACAACAACAGCACAGAATCCACATGTTCTTTGTCATTTACTGCTGTGTGACTTGTTGTGACGTTAGAAAGAAAATATGCAAAGTTTGAGAGCTCTAACTGTGACTTGAGCGTTACAAAATATTGAAAGAAATCCAGATCCCAACTCTCAGTCTTAAGTGAGTTTACGGCCCCTTCAAAAAAATCAGGTTACAACATGCTTACATGCATCGTAGTAACCTGGTTAAAATACTCATTCAAGAGCAGAGATTTTGGTGACAATGCTGTCAAAATGCAAGTACAGACCCCTCCTGTAGTCAGTTTGAGTCTTTCCAGGACTCTGGCTCATTAAGCCTCACTGTCAGATGCACAGAACCACAAGAGACAAACTGGCTTAGTTTGATTTCAACCTACTTTCTGTTGCTTGGATTTTTTTTTTTAACCTTAACTCACATGCAGAGGAAGGTGACTGAGTAATGTCTATTCATTCAGTTCCACACATTCCCACCACAGGAGCTGCTCAGTAGAACACAGTCCTCCACAGCTGGACACACATCAGCAAGAATTTTCTCTTCAGGAATTTAAGGTGCTCACTTACTAATTAGGAATCTTTGCATATTTCTCTGTGGCACCCTTACATGAGCACATTTCAAAGAACTGTCTCTTTGTCAGTGTGATCAAACCTGTGAACATACATTACAGGACGTTCACTTGAAAGGTACAACAAGGCTGCTTCAGTCTCTACTAAAGCTCAGTGGCCGGTAGATCTGTCCTGCAACGTTGTGCAGTGGCACAAAGTGAAGCCTTTCAAACTGAATCCACCTTTATTCAAAGCAGCTCTATTTTTTCACATCCAAATCTGCATTTCAAAGTGCTGGATCTGAAGCAGAAACAGATATTTTGTCAGTGACGGTGACCAAAGAAAGGGGGCTTTGCTTCTTGTGTGACACCTGAGAAATTGAGTTTTTTTAATGTATGAGGAATATATCTTTGTTTTGTTTTGTTATTTCGGTAAATTGCATTTGTTTAGCCTCTGGCAGTGTAAACATCCAGGCGGTGCACAGACGTTCCTCCTATCTTTTCCCCCTGGATCAAAGCAAAAGTATTCCTTTTGCAACAGGGTCACACAAATGCATTGCTTTGCCTCACTATTAGCAAATCCTAATTAAAAAAGCTGTAATGTCTATATTTTCCTCCAAAAATGCCACAGTATGCTTTAAATACATGTAAAAAAAAAATATATAAAGAGGATAATTATAGACTTATGCAAAGAAGGCTACTTTTGTGCCAAATATTGCACTTAAAAAAAGGTCACTCTAATCAAGAATGTAATTACTTTTTTCATTCAATATACTGGTTGTTATTAAATGGTCAGTTCACTAAAAGTACAAAAAAAAGTAATAAAGGCAAATATTTCAAAACATACCATTAGGTGTAAGTGAGAAAATATGTTTTTGTAATTCAGGGGAACTAGCCCTTTAAGCAGGAAAAATTTGCCTAATACAAAGAACCAGTTCAAGCCGAGCCTCGGTGCTGCTGCTGCTCATTCAGAGCTGCCAGAGGAGGTTGTGCTCGAGTGCTCGGGCTCCATAAAGCCCAAGTGAGCTATGAGTCTCTGGAGATTATTATATCTACCCCCATAAAGCCCAATTCCCCATGTTTAAGACCTGAAGATATTCTAAGACCTATTTTCTCCTTTTCTTTCACAGAGGTCATGTAAGTAATACACAAAGGTAGGGAGCCATTCATGCTGGGCTTGAATTTATGCTCTGTGCACCTTCGCCTCAGTGTTTTTCTTCTACTGAATGGGCTTTTTTACTTTTAAAAAAAAAAAGTGTTGTAAATATTGTTGTCAAAGCCAGAGAACTGCACAGCCGCATTAAGAACATTACTGTGTTAACATCTCCAGTACTTTTAATGGGCGTAATAAGACTGGGAAACAATGCACAACTCATATATTCACTTCACTTTATTTAGACCTACAGTACAGAGAAAAGAAAGCAAGCAAGTCTGAAGTATTCAAGGCTGAGGTATAACAGGCTTGTATCTTAAATTTGGGAGATATTACTTTTTCTACAGTACATTTCTGAGGAAAATATTGTGTTTTTTACTTTTTTTATTTAATGACTGTAGTTACTGGGTCACTGCATGTTCAGGTTTTATATTCAAGATGATATAAACTCATAAAATATTCCAATAAGCTCTGATTTGGAGATTTAGACATCAAAACATATATTTAGACGTACAGGCTAAATTTGAATGAAAACCTTTTGAGTTCTAAGAGGATTTATTTGTCTTTAATGGATAGTACAGAGACAACAGCTGGCTTGAACCGGGGCGTTGTGGTTATATGTGGTCTGCACCTTAACTTCTCGGCCACCAGAACGACCCTTTGATAACTGTTGAAAGAATTTAACCTGTAGAAGTGCTACAACTGATCTGAAAGAGATCTCAAAGGTTTCATTTAATTTTGAACCTCCAATTTTTTTGTATTTTCATCACTAATACATTAATGGCATGTATTGATTGGTTAGTCACAATGAGTATTCTTTGTAATGGAGTATTTTTCTATTATTACCTTCATTTAAAAGATCTGAGTACCACCTCTGTAGTCTGATTTTGGAGGACTGACGAAATGCAGACTTATTTCAAAGGGTCCCTGGTAGCGTTACCTGCTGGTTCTCTCACATAAACAGCACCTCTGTCTGTCTGTGAGGGTGCGTTCGTCTCCTTGGCTCGCGTTCGTCCGCACCAGCAGCTTGCCTCACGTTGAAAGAGCCCCATCTATAATTTAGAGCACCTATTATGTATTCCCCGTGAAGATTGTCTTGTCTGGGCTGCTCCTCATTTCAACCTTGCCTCTCAACTTCAATTTCCTAATCTCAGTTCAAGGCTGTCTGTGAGAGGGCCGCGTTCACGTCCGCTGCTTGTCAGCGAGCCTCTGTAAGGCCGCTGCCCTTTCAGCGGGTCAAAAGTGGGTGTATTTGCCATCATAAATCACGCTCTTAACACACCTCATTCAGTCTTTCCCATGGGTGGGTGTGCATTTGTGTGTGCAAACAAGTGTGTGTTGTGTACTCTGTTGCCCAAGCAGCTCATTCAGACTTCCACAGCGGTTGTTTGTGCTACACGCCTGCATATGTGAAAGTATGCTTGTGTCTGTGTGCTTATAAGTGTCCTTATGTTTGTGTACATCGTGGCGTTGCCTTGAATGGTTGCCAGAGCGACCAGAGGGTGCATGAGGTCGTCTTTTTTGTCTCTCCCCGATGGCGATGACGTGTAATTTAGGTCTGGAAGAGAAGACACCTCTTGATGGAAAGATGAGCGGATACACAAGGGGGCCCTCTGTTTATTTATCCAGAGAAATGTCCCTCCATCTCTCCTGCATCGTCCGTGGAGGCCGGCATCCTTAGTGAAGCTAGTAAACATGTTGATTTTTCCCTGGCTCTAACTAGGCTGGCACATGGAGCTCCTGGAGTAAATGAGCTGGTGTTTGACAGGGAGGGGTGGAGAGGAGAAGGAGGAGGAGGTGCATTTCCACACAGCCCAGATCTGTCTCCTTCTTCATGCTGGAATAAAAAGTTTTCTGACTTCCAGAGGCAGATTAACTGATAGCTCGCCAGCGGGTCAGCAGTTAATTCTGCATCACTGCCTCTTTGTTTCAGAAGGAGGAGGGGGGGTCTTTTCTTATACTGAGAAAACTCAATGACTGAGTGTGCTTCGTAATTACACTGTGGAAAAAGGAAGGTGTTTATAATAAATCTTAAACCCTTAATTATTAGAATTCTACAATATACCTGTGGGGAGAAATGTGATTCTGGTTTTACAGGTACAACAAAATTTGAAAAGAAGGACCAGAGAATATTTGGCATTTTTACTTGATAAAGGATAACTAGAATTTACCAAATAACTCCCTTGAGCCATTTGTAAATGTAAGCTATTGTTACATTATGGATTTGTGTTACGTTAAAAAGAAGAACACAGTTTCTCATAACCATCTGTGTCCTCTTTTTGCGTGCAGACTCTGTGTCCAGCGAGACAGCCTTCCTGGAGGACTATGTTCTGGGCATGGGGGACACCCTGGAAATGTCATGTGACCTGGAAGACCACTCAGAGCCCGTTGTCTGGTTCAAAGATGGCGCTGGGCTGGTGCCTAGCAACCGGACGAGGCTGGGCCAGAGGATGTTGCGCATCATCAACGTGTCGTACGAGGACTCGGGCGTCTACTCGTGCCGGCTCGCCCACAGCAACACGCTGCTCAGCAACTACACCATCCGGGTGACAGGTGAGAGCAGCAAAGGGGTGATTTTAAAGCTTTAGTCCTTGCAGCCAGAGGGAAGTATGGGTAAAATATCCTGATTAAAATAATAAAACCTTGGACAGGAGGTTGGAATCGGTCATTACGTTAGACATGTGATTATTTAATTGTTTAGAGGGAACAACAGACAGTCATTCTTTAGCTCACAGTTACTATCCAAACTACTGCCAATACCTGTGATGAGGCATTACATTTGAATATTGATTTATTCTAAGAGTTCACAAGCTTATAAAGTTGGGAAACACAAGTTTGTCCTGCCTGGTGCCTGCAGATTATAGCACATAATAGTTACAATATCGAGATTTCCAACAATGCCAAAGTCACTAGTTCCTGTACAGCTATACAGGTTTACACCAGAGAAGTATTTAGTGCACAATAGACTAGAAAAGACCATTCTGAAGCTTAAAATACTTTGTTGCATACTGTCAGACTGAGCTACAACTATAGTAAAACTTTTCCTGGTACTTCCAGGTAATACAAATTTGATACAAGTCATCACATAAAGGATGTTTCAATTTAAGTACTGATGAGTAACTCAATAAATACATGTAGCCATGTTTCCATGCAATGTGGAAAAATGTGTAAGAGATATTAATCAGTGGCATAAGATATAAAACCAATAAAATATACACATTTCTTAAGATACTTGAGTCACTAGTGGAGCTCCAATGGAAACAGACATTTGGCTGCACCCTGTGGAGCGCTCAGAAAATCAACCTCCTTCAGTTTGTCTTCCCGTCTGACAGACATCTGAGGATCAAAGTATGAATAAACACAGTCCAACAGTTGCAGAAGTGATGTCTCGACATGACAGCTTCTCATAACGGTTCATAGAAAAACAATGAAAACTTAGCTCAGGAGGAAAGTTCTATTATTTTCTCCTCCTGTTCGGTTTCAGCTCTCCGTTAGCTGCCTGCCAAGCTGCACACACACACACACACACACACACACAGCGTCACACCGGCACAGACTTTCACCGGCTAACACGCAGCCAAGTTTCACACAGATGCACAGTCAAAGGTGAAATTCATTATCGTATGAGGGAATGAGTAACGTCTTAAACAAGTGTGTGATGCAAACAGAGCTCTAATAGGAATGTAGGATGGGAGGAGGTGAGGGGGGTAACGGGTGGGTGGGTGGTGTGGTGGGGGGGGTCAGAAGGCAGCGTGCAGTAGCTTAAAAGTCTGGCGGCTTTTTCCCGTAAAACTCATGGACACCAGCTGAGCCTGTTATTGACAACTAATTAGAAAGCAATTAGCTCGAAACATTTCATCATTGAAAACAGATGGGGTGGCAAGAACTGAGAGAGTTCACTCCCTCTGAACTCACCCCCCCGCCACCTCCTCACACGCACGCACGCACGCACACACACACACACACACAGATGCATGTGTTTGGCTGCAAGCCGGGGAGAAAATGGCCTTTTCCAGAACTGATCAGAGATGGACAGCTTCTCCTCCTGGACCCACATATCATCTCCACACTGCAGGAGGACACATGCAAACACTCTCCCCACATCACTGACTTAAAAAGGATGAATAAGTCCATCTTTCCAAGTCATGTTCAGCTTTAAAATCAGAAGCGCCATCCCATTGAGATGAAATAACTGCATTTGCTTTCAACTCAGCATGTTTCGGGAGAAAAACCACACAGGAAGCGAATTCATCGCAGCCCATTGTCAGATATTTGATGTCATTCTCATACTCAGTACATGTTTAAATTACGTGTGAAGTCAGACTTTTTACAATATCCTGTTCTTCCCCCTTGTACCTCCACTTCTCCTCCCTCTACTCTAAACACACAGTCTCAGCTCCATGTAAAACACACATGGACTATTGTGTTTTTCCTCAAATATTTGAGAAAGGTGTCAGATATTTAGGAGTGGTATCAGATTTAGCACCTGGACGGCGTCCAGACAGCGGAGAGTGGCCAACTCATATTGTACACACACCCAGTACACGTTGGAAGTAAGGGGCTGTAATGTGAGGGGATGAAAGTAGTTATCTGCAATATGAAATGTATGCATATATATATAGGTTTTGTATATACAACATAAATATCGAGATGGCTATGAGAGAATTGCCTGTGGACAAAAACTAGTGAAATATGTTGTGTATGCCTGGTTGTAGTTGTAGCAAAAGCAAACAGTGCGCTAAGATAATTGCTTCCAAATTTACTGGGACCGATTTAAACTGTCTTGGCTCCAGTCTGTGCTGCACCACTTGACTGGAGAATCCATAGTTTCAAGTTGAGTCTGGTTTTCGACTATTCTTACTATTTTACTCAACAAAATGAACCTTATTAAATTGATCAAAGTCGAGCCACAGGTTCCCCAGTTCCATCATATTAGCTGAATCATATATTTTGAGACTAAAACAGGGGAACATGTTGAATTTATAAAGCTTGAATGTTCATTATTGATCTGAATAAAAAAGAAAATGTAGGCCTAGTACAAAATCCATTAATTGGAACTATTCTGGAGCTTTCAGTCACATCTTAAGTACTGTAACTGTGCGCTCTTGCCAGTTTTTAGTGTAGTTGATGGTTGTCATTGAAATATTGAGTGTATTCCTTTATGTATTCATGTTAAACAATGTCTAATGGACATAAATTGGTTGGCTAAAATGTTAACAAACGTGAATAACCATCTTTTAATTTCTCTTAGATTGGTGTGAAATCAGATTGTTTTATTCCATTAGCGTCTAAAGGTTGGCAATAACCTTTTTGGCCCAGACTAAAATGCTTAATTAATAACATTCCCATCTGCTATAACTGTAGCCTCCTCATTTGTGCTAATTAGCAAATGTTAGCATGCCAAAACACCAAACATTATGAGCATTATACCTACTAAACATCAGCATGTTGGCATTGCCATTGCAGCCTCACAGAGCTGCTAACATGGACTCTTTCCTCTGGTTTCACTAGTTTCAGTGATCACTCGCTCACAGTATTCTATTGTAAAGTTTATTTTGACAACCACAATAGTTTTCTTTGAAAAAGGTTGGTGTTATTTTTACAATGATGGAGCTCATCCAGACTGTAATGTGACTCCAACTAACTTCTTTCTGCTGAGCTGCACCACAATGGAGTGGAGTCGTGGACTGAGGTGTGAAATAATAGAAACTAAAACCTGCTAGTCAGGAGTTTCGGGAGCAGTTTGAGCTCACCGGGGTTGTTGAGCTAACAGCTGGCTCTCATTAACCAGACCTGTGGAGCTGAACCAGAAAACGTCGAGGTCAGATCGAAAATAATTACAACGCCGCCGTGAAAATGTGTGACACAGCGAATCCAAACAGTCCTATCTGTGGCTGGAGAATAATTAGATGTCATCTGACACGCTAACCATTAGAGTTAGTGTGTGTTGCAAAGATAGATAGAGTTGTTTTTGTATGTGTGTCCGCACATGTGAACACACACACACACACACACACACACACACACACACAAGCGAGTCGCAGCAGTGCTAATGACCCTCTCATTTTTTAACGTCTGTGGAAATGTTTTTGTTGTAATATCTGAGCGAGCCGCCACGCTACAGAGAACTGTAGACTCATTCATGAGTTTCTCAATGAGCAGAGTCAGTTTTAATATGCATACGTGTGTGTCTGTGTGTGTGTGTGTGTGTGTGTATTTGTGTAATTATACTTGTTTGAACACACACCATTTAATCTCCACTGGGCATTTAACATGCACACAATTCCAGCTTTGTTATTTTCCCTCTTTATTTGCCTCTTGTCTTCCACAAAATAAATTCCCGGCCACAAGCTTTCCAGATGTAGTTTTTGTTTTATCTGATGGTTAACGTAGTTCAAGTAGTTCAAGAATAAGGGCATTTTATGAACATGTACAAGTTGTCGGTTGAACCTTGAGCGCAGATGCAAAGTAAGATTTGTCCACCATTTTGTCATCTAAATGTTAATTCCATTCTGTCGTATTTTCTTTTAAGATTCTCTGTCGTCTGGTGATGATGAAGATTATGACGAAGATCCAGAAGATGCAGGTAATGGAAATGGTGAATTCTTAATTTCTATTTTTTGACTGCATTTTTCTTGAGTTAAGCAATGTTGTTTGGTGTCATTTTGGAGCCTTTTACTGCTTACAAATCTCACGATAAACAACCTTGTATGAAACTGTGTGAAATTAGTGATCCTACTAAGTCAATAACCTGAAAAGCAAAATAACTCAAAGTTAGAAAAATGAAGTGAAGGGGACACAAATGGAAACAGGAAACATTTTTCATATTTAACAATAATCTTTACCCCAAACTACCAAAATGCTTTTTCACCAACCCTAACTCGGAATATGCCTAAAGGTGGCTTGTGTTTCCATTTGTTCAAAGCATCAAAAGAAAGTTTATGACAGCTCAAAATTCAATTTACACCGAAATTCTGAACATGTCAAAATAAAAAAAAGCACACAATCATTAACCATTTCTAAGAACAAAGCAACCTCCAGCTGTTTTGTCACCTAGCAACAGTATTCTTAGCTCTTAAACGCTGAGCATTAATGTGTTCTCAAATTCGCATGTCAAAAATACAACCTGAGGTCCATGAAGGCAGCGTGAACTACGTTGTTAGGCTTAATGTGCAGCACCTGCCACACAGACTGCTGAATGACCCTGGGGGAGGGGCTGCTGTGAATGCGTTGGAGCTTTGTTTAAATGTTGGATTGTTAGATTTTTCAGATTCGTTACAACTTTATTTCCCTTTGGTTGTGAAAGGATAGATTTTAAGTTAAGTCAGTAATAAAACTGATTTTATCCCTATACTTATAAGAAAAGCTTGATATGGATAAATTCACTTAACTAATCAAAACCATAACTGAACTGCAATTGTTTTCTTTACTTAAAATTTCAGATTACTCAGATTATTTTTATTGGCTTTTATTGGAGACCATGAATTCTGAGTATGAAGTATATACAGCAGTATGCAATACAAGTTACTTATAGGTAAAACATTCCTCAAAAAGGAACCTCATTTATATGTAACTTTGTTTTATCTCAATAACTTCAACAGAGGTGGATGGTTTAAATAGTATGCTGTCAGTACTTTTCCCAAACAAAACATGATACTTGCCTCGAGACATCAAAGGTTTTACAACCTCTTGATCAAGTCTCTATATCTTCCAGTTACTTTAGGGACTCTGGTGTTGCTAATGCTGAATTATTAGCCAACCTCATTACCTGATGAACAGTAACAGTGTTTGCTGTTGTCACGCAGCGCTTTTGTGGAGCAGAAACGATCTCTTCAGGTTATTCATCTCAACAGTTATTCTGCATTTTAGAATTTGGACTAATTTCAAACATGTCATCGTGATGAAAGATTTTGTCTGCAGGAGCAACAAGAATCGCTTTGAAAGGGAGTTTTATTGGCAATTACATGACCTTCATTGGATTTATGCTACTGATTAGAGTTTTATATCTGTAATTGGGATTATACGGCTTTTATAAGCGCTCACTGTCTTGCTGTGCTCACATTAAAGCTTCTCCCCAGAGCACTAAACTAAATGCCACTATCGCACAGATCAAAAGCCTGTGGTTCTCCGGTGGGTAACACTCCTTCTCAGCGCTCTGTTGTGATGTGAGCTGCTTTGGCACTCAGAGACTTGCGGAGTTCAGGTGCAGGTGAACAAAGAACGATGAGGGATGGCTTCTGCTGGCTGCGTGCGCTTTACACGCTCTGTTCTGTCAGTTAGCATGACTCCAGGGAGACAGAAAGCGTCTCCACCCCTCGGCGGGCTCTCGACCAGCCAGACGCCACACTGTGCTGCCTTTGTTGTACCGTACGGTGGGAGACAGCGGAAGGTGAGGCGCAAACAGTCAGAGACAGCCGAAAAAAACAAGAGGAGTGAAATGATGGAAATATGGCGAGAGAGGAAGAGATGATGGGATTGAGGTGAAGGGAAGGAGACGATAGAGAGCCTGATGCAGAAACTGAGAAGCCTGCAGAAAGAGATGGATGGATCGATTTAAGATCTATTCAAAACATTGCATTGAATACTTGGTTCACATTAGTTCAAAGAAGAAGGACTTGATGAGACGAGTCTACTTCTTGACATCGGACTTCAGCTGTCAGTGAAAAGCTAGAAAAACGTGCCAGCAGTGTCAAGCGGTCCATCATGTCTTGAACTGAATCCCAGTCCACCTTAACTGCTCGACAAAATTGGTGCCAGAAGCGAAATATGGAACTGTTTCGGTGACGCAGCGACAGGCAGACGCCCAACTGAAATCAAAGCCTGTCGCATACAAAGCTCCAACCAAATCAAGCGTCATCACACTCGACTTAAAATGAAATGCTGAGACAGTGACAGTGGCTCACACTGCGGTCGCTGAAACAGCCCAAATGCCACATGGTCACCATTAATGTTTCACCCAATCTATTGTCATCAAACTACAATCATTACATGGTGACAGAGAGTGACAAGATGGACTGGCGGCCAAAAAAGAGCCAATGGTGTCCTCTCGTCACAGCATTGTTTTCATCCCCAATCTCTCTCTCCCCTAATTTCCTTTCATCTCTGTACTATCAAAATAAAATATCTAAAAATGCAAGCTTTTAGTAAAGACATCATGTCAAAAAAATAAATAAAAAATGCATTCCATATAAGTTGTCGGGGTTCTGTTGATGTCGGAATTGTGAAAGGTTGTGGGGAGCTGCTGCTTTCCCCTTTCTCTGCGTTTTTTTTTTTTTTTTTAATGTGAAGGATTTCTTCACCGTTAGGAGACAGGAAATAAATCTGTATTTTAATGAGGCAGTTGTGGCTGATGGCAGCATGCAAATGGAGCTCTGAGGAAGACAGACTGTCAAAAACAAGTAACAACTGTTAAGTCCCAACAACTGTAAAGCTGGAGCTTGAAAAAACAATCCAGTTATAGATCTAGTAATCTGAAATTAGAAAAAAAAATTATTTTGTTATTGTAGCACTCCATATACTCGAGCACTCACCATTTAATGAACACAGGAGTGTCTGGTAATATTCTTTGTCTTGGTCCTATCACTTTCAATATGTAATCCCTGCTCATTTCGGATGTTTGAGGATTAAGAATGTAATCTAGCTTCATATTCATACAGTACTGCCTTTTTATTTGAGGCATTTAGCTGATGCTCTTATCCAGAGAGATTACAGAAGAAAGCAGTAGAATAAGCTTTGGGAGTAACACTGCAGAAAGCTTCCTGTTGCTGTCTTTGTACTGAAAGTCGCTGTGGATAATCTTAACACCTGCAATGTATAACCTGAATGTGTTTGAACGCACAGTTTGGAAAGCCTGGAGTGTTTTCTAAACAGGCCGAAGTGGCAGCGGCAGCAGCAGCTTACTGCAGACATCCTGAATGCCAGTAAATAGCCTCAGACTGCCAGACTTAATCTCTGGATGTAAGTCTACCTCATGACATACGAGGCTCCGATTTCCTGGCCAAAAGGAGAAGGATTAGCCCAGAAACGTTAAACCCCTATCGCTGCTTAATGTCCGCTAAGCCACCGCTAATTAGCCGGCTGTAGCAGGAAGGAGCCATGTGATGAGCCACACAGCCAGACGGAGAGTCCCTGTCGGTGAGCGGAAGAACGTCCAACCGCAGAGAGGGCGATAATAGAGATGTGGAGACGGTAAGAGTGTCAGGCCATTAATGAGGGAGAGGGGATAGAAAACATTCAGCTGATTGACAGCGAGACAGAGAAGATTGCAGAGTGAGAGAAGAGAAGAGATGGCACAAGAAAGAGAAGATTTGAGGAGTTGAGTCACTCTGAGCTGTCGCTGTAGCTGCCAGTTGAAATGATGCTGCTGGCCACAGCTGACTGTCCTCAGAGGAGAGACAGACAGAGAGAAAGACACACAGACAAGCTGCTGCAGTCATGAGCTCATTCGCTCCCAGCCTCCAGAACTCGCTCAGCTGTCTCCAAAGGCCTTCTGGGAAAAGAGAGAAGATAGACGCTGCCCAGCAGCCACAGTAATTCCTGTGGAGACGACGCTGCGCACAAATGATATTATCGACCAATTTCTGAGAGTGACACCAATTTGTGTTTCATTTTTATTCAAAAAGATAGACAGCTATACAGTTACCTCTGTATCTATTAGCTACAATGAGAGAGCAGGTGAAGGTTCAGCAGGCCTTCACACACACACTGTTATTGACCAAACTGTGAATTTGACAATACTTTTCTGAAGGGAACCTCATGGGTTGCAGAAAAATCCACAAAGTCATTTTAAATTATGTGAGTTAAATGATAAATAATAATCTCCAAACAAAAGGGGAACAAAAAAAAACATCATAAATATTCACATTAATTGGATTACACAAAATATGCAAAATAAACAGTATATCCAATATTTGGAAAAGGAAGATGACGGATTGCTCTTCATACTCAAACGTACATTAGAAGATGTATCTGGTGCTCTTGGAAACAAACAAAAAGGCAGTAGGCACTCCAAAAAAAAGCCACGAGAAAGGAATAAATTAAAAAGCCTTTATTGTAATGGCCACTTCAGTAAAAAAAAAGCCAACATGTCTGACCACTGGAGGTCTTCATCAGGGCTTTAAACAAACAAATCCTCAGAGGAGCATTTCACCATTCAGTCATCACGGACGATTACCAACAAAGAGTGAATGCCTCGTCCTAATAGAAAATATTTCACCTGTCTTGACTTATGATTGTCCAGTACTTCTTCCCCTTTGACCTCTCAGAATATGTTTGAAAATGGCAAAACCTGCTAGCAAGATGAAGAAGAAAAGGTCACGCCTCACACGATGAATATGAGTTATTGAAGTGAGCATTTTTTGCAGTGTGGAAAGCCATGTACACACCCAGAGCCTGTGTAAAGTGAAAGGGCAGCGTGTGTGTGTGTGTTGGGGGGGGGAGGAATGTTAACAGAGCCTAATCTGTGCTGTGCTGTGCTCCTGAGCTATGCAGCCTCCTTGTTTACCCTGGCAGGAGAGCAGAGAGCCGGACACCGGGCCACGCAACGCTGCTCCGCGGCCGCCATTCCTCCGACTCTGTTTGCCTTGAGTCCCTGCAGGCCCTCCGGGGCAGCGTGTCTTCAAAGAGTGCCAGTGTAATCTGTAATGAAATCTGCCTGTGTGCTTGCAGGCGTCAGCGAGGGCAAATTATACAATTACACAATTAGACCCCCCCTCCTCCTTTTCCCTAGATCGGTGTCTGAGCGCTGTAGGGCCTTGTGCCGTGGCGATCTGCACCGCAGTGTGTCTTGCTCCAGCTAATTGCTGTTGCACTGAAGTTGGGCTGATGGAGAGCTGCAGGCACGCTCCCCCGACCCGCAACACAGAGCAAAGAGTCAGAGGAAAAGTGAACAGAGAGCTGCAGGGTTTGTGAGTGTGATTTCATGTGTGTGGAATACTCGTAACGGCAATGTTTAGTCCAAATACAAAGAAAATGTAACTCAGCACTCAGACAGTGCATACCCCTGCCAAGGCTGCCCAGTCCTCTAAACCTGTTATTTCAATAACTGTAAGTATTCAGAAAATTTTAATCTGGATCTGCATCAAAATACACACAGTGGCAGACAGTCATACATATGCCAGATTTTTTCTTCCTTTGAGTAAGTGCAGTAGTTCATGAGAAAATATCAAAAATCTTTTTTTAAATAAAAAGCCCTATCTTGCAAAAAAAGAAATCATTAGAAAAATTCCTGGATGCCTACCAAAAAGTAATCATTTCTGTTTTGGCCTATGGCTGAAGTAGCAGCAGGTGTGCAGAATGCGTCTATGGAAATGTGAAATATATAACCTGACTTTTGTATGTGTATATATATACTGGTAGCTGCAATAGAATACCGTACTGCCCAGTGAACTAGTGAATGTATGAGTATCTGTGCGTGTGAATGAGATATAACTCCTCCCGCTGACTGACCTCTCCCTGTCGGAGTTTAGTGATTTCTGTTACGGAGTCTGTTATCGAACGCTAACCAAACAAACAGCACAACAGGATTACAGTCGAGTATTTTTAGGCTCCCAGAGAGATCCCCCTCCTCGGTTAACCTCTGCTGCTGACAGGTGGAGCTGAGAGGAGATGTTATGGTAAACCAGTTTCCACTACAGTAAGTGCATATCCACTCAGGGCAGGGTTATCTGCAGAGCCCCCCTCCCGTCCCCGTCCCTGCAGGGTTTGAGGAGTATCTGCTCTGGTCCCCTCCGACTCCCTCCTAGAAAATCCCACTCCCCTCCGCTGAGGAAATACCATCCAGCCAATTAGACACGGGATGGGATTCCTGTGTGTTGTTGAGCATACAGAGTGGGACTCCACAGTAAATCAAAAACAAGCTGAAATCCAAATATCGACTGCTGTTTCTGATTGGGAAAATGCAGTTTTTACTTCTTATGACGGTGCCTGAGCCTCTTCAAGTGAGCTGTTGAGAATCCACAGAGCCAACAAATCACATTTGTCTCATTTCTGGATCAGAAAGAAACTCAGTGTGTTATTTTACATATAATACTACCAAATAAAATGACTCAAAAGAAGGAAATCACCTCTAGATAATAATCTATTTTTACTTGGAATAAACATCTCTTTATTTAAGCACAGCACTCATTGCTCAAACTCACTCTGAATTTCTAAAAATGTCAGGCAATGGAAGGAGGTGATGGTGTTTGTGGTGTGGAATGAGTAGAAGACGAACAGAATGGAAGAAACTTCACAGAAAATCGGAGGAAGAAGACGTCACTGCACTGCCCACTCAGTTTGACTGACAGGTGATCTTGTGCAGAAACACAGCAGTTAGCACTTAGCCGCTAAAGGTCAGCGAATAAACCAATGCTCAGTGTGTTCTTGGGACGAAACCATGGAGACGAGGCGAGGACCCCGGCACGTGCTGAATCCACACAGACGTCTATTCTGGGTTAAAAACTGAAGGATCATCAGCAGCAGGAAGGTGTTTTCAGGCCCAGATGAGTTCAGGAGCAGCAGCAGCAGGAGGAGGAGGAGGAAGAGGAGGGAGGGAGGGAGGGAGGGAGAGAGGACCACACATCGGGAGAGAGACTGTTTAAAAACTCAATGTGTGTTTCTCTTTGACCGAGTGTGTGTGTGTGTGTGTATGTGTGTGTGTGTGTGTGGGGCTGATTACGATGCCAAGAAAACAATGTGTTCAGACTCCTTGGAGGGTTGTCCCACGCTGCGCCGAGTGTCGCTCCAAATACGCCGAGACAGAGGAGACACAGAGAGAGAGAAGTAATGAAATCTAACAGACATTTCCCTTTTAAGGTGGAGGCAGCTTGTGTGTGCGTGTGGTTGCACGTGGGGAGCGTTTGTCTTAGCGAGCTGGGGAGTCTAACTCAAGCAGGGAGCAGTGTTCAGCTGCTCCATTAGAGTTTGTAAACACACGCAAACACACACAGACTTCATAGTCTGTTCAATAGAGTGAAGTAACGTTCAGTTTGTTTGCTTTCTAAGAAGATACGTCTGTGTCTTTCATCACCGAATCTCCCTCTCGGTCTGGTTGTAATTACTCTGTGAAGCTGGAGCCAAAGTTTGATGGCAGCAGCCAAAGAGATGTGTGTCAGAAATATATCAGAAGACCCCAGACATTATGATAAACAGTCACACACACGTGTTGGATCAGAGACAATCACAGATAGGTGATATTTGAATGTCTCTTGGTGACATCTCACCTGGGTCGCCCCGATGAGATAGAAACCCGCCCATGTGCTGCTGGAGGGTAAGACCCGGGTCTGATAGCACCCACACATAAACACACACACACACACACACACACACACACACACACACACACAAACACGGACATTGAGATGGTAATTAGCTCCTCTCTCTCCTCCTGCTTTTAGAAAAGTAAAAGAGACATCTGATGACCGGTCAGCCACCTCCCCAGCCTTTGTCCCGGGAAACACACTCACACACAGACCTATAAAGGGAGTGAGCGAGCCATGCCTCAGTGCTCTCACCCTCCACACCCACACAGCGGGAACAATAGGCCTCTCTGACTGGCTACACTGTCTTTGTCCACCGTCTTCTCAATACAACTCAATAAATCGCCCTGACAGGTTTCCAAACTCTCAGGATCGGACGATTCAAATGAACTCCTGCATTGTTATTGGGGAAAGAAGATGATGAGCGTTGTTTGGTCCTCGTGACGCTTCACGCACCCATTTTGTGTTCTTTCAACATCCGTCAAACTGTGTTTTACACAGTTAACACATCTTGAACTTAACTGTGTCTCTTGGGACAGAAGGGTTGGGCTTGACGAGAGAAAAGATGGGTGCAGGTACTGTGTGTTGTTTATCAGTGCGGTGAGGGAAGACCTCCAGCGAAAACCACAGCCTCACATCTGTTCTGGCAAAATACATAACTCGTACAAGATGGACCAATTTGGAGACAGAGCAGAAGAGCAAGTTCTCCCGTCTGTGCCATCTTTTAGCAATTACAAAAACATGCAACAATGAATTCCTGGAGGGTCTTTCCCAAAAAATTCTATGATCTAAGAATACACCAGAAAATGGAAAACTAGGGATGATCTGTTAGGATAAGAAAGTGGTTCATCTTGGCAGAGCAAGTCAATCCCCAAAGACCTCAAAACAAAAATCTTCAAGTGTCAGGTTTTGACCTGGTAATAACACAATGATTTGGTCCCAGCTACATAAAAAACACTATTAACTATCACAAGGGTAGAATTATAAATTATGTGCCATTTTAATGGTCAGGATTGAGACCTGAAAAGTTTGCATCTAAGTTGCAGTTTGCTTATAAAGACTTTTGACTTGACTTGGATTTGCGACTGGACGTCTTGACTGACTCAGTGCTTGAGAGTTATTTCAAGTAACTTGACTTGAGACACTTCAGCACTGGATACAACTGTCCATTAAATGTTATATACAAATACAGTGTGTTTTGTTTTGGAGAAGAAGTTTTCCATGACTGACGCAACACCCTGTTTTGTGTTTCACCAACAGAGGCTCCATACTGGACCAGGCCTGAACGGATGGACAAGAAACTCTTGGCCGTTCCAGCCGCCAACACCGTGAAGTTCCGCTGTGCCGCGGCTGGAAACCCAACGCCGAGCATCCACTGGCTGAAGAACGGCAAAGAGTTCAAGGGAGAGCAGAGGATGGGAGGAATCAAGGTGAGAGGACTTCAAACATGTTAACACCTAAAGGTTACAGGAGGGGGTCTGTGATTTAAAGATTCGAATCCTTAACCAGCTCCAAAAAGATCTGCCTGGAAGAGGTGATGCTCTGCCCTTCTTGAGCTACCCTTAAAGTGCTTTTTAGCAAGGCATCTTAATCCCCTGCTATTCCAGTGGAGCTGCTGTGTGTCCATCAGTAGATCTGTGTGAGTGTTGGGATGCTCCCTGGTGTGAATTTCTATAACTGGAAGAGTGTGAAGCAGAGTGTTGAAAGAGCGCTCATGCTCGGTGAATCTACTCCCGGTAAATAAAGGTCAGAAAAACTCGCCGTAGGCCTGGATGCCCCCAGCAGTACTCGGGCCACTCCAAGCTGACTGAAATAAATTTAGAGGGTCGAACTGCTGTGCTGAAAACAGAGTGGTACACAGATACATGCATGCTCGCGTGATAGCTCAGTGTTGACAGTAATGCAGTGCAGCAAACAGCTGCTGTACTCAGTTTTGTCATCGGATTCACTCTAAACACTGAGCTCTCATGTGGAATGGCACTGCTTAAAGTAACAGGGCTTGGTTTACTTTTGTGTTCCTTTAATGGCCCTGAGCTGTAGGATTAAAAGACAAAGTCAGTGTGGTAAGAAGATCGGAATTCAAACAGTCAAAATGTGTGTTTTGGTACAAAATAAACTCAAACCTAATGACATAGAAATCCTAAAGTTTTACCCTGAGATGTAACTTCTTCCACGATCATTCTGTGCTGTGTCTTATTCGCCTCCTCTCTCAGTCCTCACACTGCCTTAATGAGGTTCACACACTTTAAGTGCAAAATATTGGTCCCGTTCTTATTTTCAAAATTGTTTTTTTGATGATGAACTTACCTTAGCAGGGCACTTTACTTTAAAAGTGACCGCATTCCAATTTAGTTATTTCCAATTTAAAGCAAGTTTCCTGTAACCACTCTAAAAAGAAGTGTGATTTTTTTTAAATATAAAAAAGTCTGATCTGTTTCTCTCACTGTACTTAAGGCCAGTACTTCTGCTTCTTCATGTAGCTCTGCTTCAGTGAGAAAGAATCTTATAAAACACAAAAGAGTAAGCAAAATGTAATATTAAGGAAGAAGACTAGGGTCAAAACATAAATAATTGAGGCTAACAGGGATGGAAAAGTTTATTGTAGTCTTCACTTTAAAGCGAGTCTGTGTTACTTTTTGATAAAGTTACTTTTTGATTGATTGTTGCTGAATGATAAAACCTTCAGTAGCACAAGAAGAAAGGAGTCATTCAGTTAGTACTGACTTGTTAATTTCCATTATAAAGCAAAGTAATTTTTTCTGTCAAAAGTTACACAATCTCCCTTTAATCGAAAGTTATGTTGCAGAATCTACAGCAAGAAAATAAGCAGAAAGGAGGCAAAGTGGCCATTTAAATTCCATCTTTAAATTGCATCTTCTAACTTGGGCAGAGTAAACATGTGCCAGGCTGGTAGTGAGGCAATGAGAGACACTTTCTCCCCAGCGGAGGCTTGGCATTTAAAGAGTTAAATGTAATGAGATCCTGCAGCTATTAACAGTTTACAAAGATCTCCAACATCTGCTCCCAGCAGACCAACAGCAGTTGTCTCCCTCCCTCTGTCCCCACTCTCTCACACACACATACACACAGATTCACACACACCTGTCACCAGCCCTCAGGACACTGGAGTGGCTCCCCGACAGCAACTTTAAGCGTCTTTGGTATGCATGAAGATTTGCTGATAATAAAGTTTGTGGCTGCACTTTTAGCAGCAAATTAATCCTAAACTGACCAGAGAGCGCTCTGATATTTATTTCATCTGTTCCCTAATCCCTAAGTGTCCCTTTTCTGTTAAACAACTCACCAAAGGCAAATTAAAGAGTGCAGTAGAGATGTTTTCGTGGTGACTGAGGCCGTATTAAGATATTAATGTCAGCCTAATCAGTGTAATGTCTCATGGTAGACTGAACCTGTGCAGTGCTTACCGATTAATTTATTTCCCTCTGCAGCAGAAGCCATTTTGTACACTGCCCTGCTTTAACACACACTCCTATGGGATGTTAAATGTATAATTAGAGAGTGATATGTATAGCTGACTATCCATAGTAAGCCTTTACAGCATATGTGAGGTCCGGTTGGCTTTGTTCTGTATTGTCAGTGTGAGCTGTGACACTGTAAGTTGTCAACAAGCCACCAAGACAAATTCCTGTACATTTTCCGCTCGGTATAGCTCAGCGGGTCGAGCTTGGCACCAACTAATACTGTGGGTGTAGTTCCCACTGTGGCCACCCATGCTCAAAGTGCAGGCACTATAAAAGTATTTAGGATGATAGTGTCCAACCATACAACATTTATGTCAACTTGATGTTTCAATCATGTTGAGATTTTTTTGACTTTTTATACAGTAACAACCTGAAAAAGCTAAGTTTTGGTTTTTAGTTGAGTTAGGTTCCAAAAGAATAACCTAAATCACAAAAAAGAAACCTTATCTTGGCATGCAGGACTTACCCTTTGAATTCACTCTTCAGTTAACTTGGCTTTATATAAGTTAAAGACTTTATGTCTTAAAATGTATCTGACGGAAAGACTGTGCTCTACTCACATCATTCTCCATTGTCAAGTTTAGTCTAGTTCTAATAAAGATGTTAAAAGGTGACTGAGGCCTTAATAGGACAATTCTTTTATTTCTCTTATCACGTAGCTCGCCCTCCGTACCTCCAGGCTCTGAGCTCTGTGAATTCCCATCAGCCAAATTGTGTATAATTTCTGTCCTTCCTTCTTATGATTTCAGTACATCATTTAACTGACGGTATCTCTTATCTGGAACAAGTGCAGCTCTACAGCTAGTTTAAATTCCTAGATCATATTGACCATTGACCATGGGGTGATCATATAAAAGAGAAATGGTAGAAAATTTGTAGTGTAAATGCTTTTAACACAACTCTCGTGTTTAAGCACATGTATGAATAAGTGAGTCTGATAGAGCTGTAATATTCAAGGTGGCAGTTATTGAGATGTTCCTTTCTGTGTCTTCATCAAGACATTATGACATGTCCCTCCCCTCCTCCCCCCTCTCTCCCTCCTGTCCCGGAGCTGTTTTAAGATCCAGTTAGCCGGTCACCATGTGGCCGCTGTTGGCCTTGAGGGGGGGTGAACGGAGAGGTCATCCTCTATAGAATCAGGGTGCTTGGTGACAGACAAGCCTGTGACACGGCCCGGCTTCAGGGGGGTCAGGGGTAACAGCTTCACCCCGTCCTGATGTCAAAACCTCTGCTGACCCCACCACCACCCTGCACACTGCAAAAAAAAAAATCTTAAAATGGTTAACATTTAACACAATTAAAACTGCCCACCATGATTCATTTTGCTCTGAAAGATATTTGCACTGATGATCAAGTCACATTATCTGCAGTTAAGTTGAGTGATGTGCCTAATACCATTATATTGTCACCTAGTTCTTAACATGGTTATCATTCAGATTCTCATTTTCCTCCTGCCATCCGTTCATTGTTGTTTGCATTTCCCAGAGATCATCTGTCAGTCAGACACTGTGAGAAGCACTGTGGTACCTTCTTTATTCCTCAAACACTTATGTACTTTGCCTCTTTTATCCTTGTCCTTTCAGTCATGATCATTTACTGGATTTTTTTTATAGTTTCAAACAACACTGAGAAGAAACCAGAAACTTTGAACTCACTTTATATGTTTCAGTCGGTAAACCTTCATCAGTTAAGATTCAGTCATCGAATCTTACACCCACCAGTATCCACCAGTATCAGCAGACAGCAGAAACACCTTTTGGCAACCATACAAATTAAGATCAATGAGCTCTTTCAGTTGTAAACAAAAGTAGTGCTTTAGAATTGTATTAAGTCTTAAACAAACTGGCTGAAGATTGAATCGTCATCGCGTAGTCTGACACAATGCAACAATCTGTTGTCAGGACATTTTTTGCAGTGTATTCAGTCTCACCGTGTCACAGCCCTCATCACCCCACCTCACATCTGCCCTGTGATGAGTTCATCTTGCAGGGTTAGGGGTAGATGGGTGGGTGTGGGGGGTAACCCTGAGTCCTGACAGCCTGACAATGGCCTTCTAAAGACTGTGTTCCTCAAACAGGGTCCTCAAGGTGAAGCTGTCTTCCTATCACATCCTTATTGAAATGACACGATCATTTTTGATTTGACAGCCGTGGTTAATTTCAGCTGAATGAATCGCGCCTGTGTCAGATTTTTAAGGTTTGGACGGGTGATGGGGGTGATTTTGTCACACGCCTCTCAAGGCCAGAAGCATGTATGTGACTGTAACTGACTTGTTAACTGATCCATGCTGATCAGCACAATGGAGTCCTCTCCACTCAGCACTGCATATCAGCAAGTTTGTCATTTACTCTGAGTGCCTTCAGATCTGCACTTGTGTGTGACAAAAAGTTACAGACTGAGGGGTCCATTAAGGTCCATTACCCGCCAACAAAAATACCTCCTGTCTTCACACTGGAGTGGTTGAAAGTGGCCTTCCTGAGGATGCACCGTGTTCTCCTTTGTTCTTTGAAGACTTCCATTTTAACAAGCTGTTTCATCTTCTATTCAGGCCTAAAATGACATTTATTTTTGTAAAATGTATATATATATATACATATGATATATATTCTAATCAGGTTCACGTCCTGCAAGAACTTACTAGAAATGTGACAAAAGCTTATAGGTACATCTATGCAGATTAGTTTTCTTGTTCCCACCATATACCTCAGTAAAAGTGGAGTCAGGAAGATTCTTTATGACAAGCAAAGTATCGCACCTATTTTAAAACTGAATAAATTGACTTTTTTTTATTGTTGCAAGAATGAGTAATTAATTCTGTGCCTCATTAATTATCACTCTTGAAAGCACAAATCAGACAAATCCTATGATTAACCATTCATACAGGCTCATATTGTTGTACACTAACATCTTCTCAGTATATTCTTTCCCATGAACACACTGGAGGTAATTCAGACATTCACGTCTATCTTACAAGCACTTTGTAAGTCTATTGAAATGCAACACAGAGAACTAAACGGTACGTTTGTTGAAACTAAATGAAACGGTAAATAGGATGTGTGGCTCATTGGTAAAATGGAAAATAAAATTCCAGCAGAGCGACGTGCCGGAGCATTGTGGGCCTTCCCAGACAACTGTGGCGCTCAGAGCCTGCTCCATTATGGAGGGGCAGGGCCTAAAGGTTAAAGTTCACCTCTCTATTGAGCCATCAGATGGAGGTGGGGAGAGATGGGCGTGTCACCAGCCTATTGAGCTGGCCTGAGTCTTTGACAGCCAAAGCCAATGCTGTTGTATGCTGCCACATATGGCGGAAGGGATTTTTTTGTGTTCATGCTAAACTGCGGCGGCACAAGTGAGACAAAAGTTGACAATGTAATTATTGTGGTTCATTCCGTCCAGGTCGCTCAGTGCTTAACTGATTTTTCAATCCCTGTTTTGACAGGTTTCCAAGGCAGGGTTCTTAAACTGGCTCCACACTGTTACTTTTTAAGACTTTAAGCACTTTAAATCCTTGTTTTTCCAATCCAGATTTTAACACAGCCTGGATTGTGAGTCTCTGTAGGCCGCTGAGGAATTTCTACACTTTTGTGTTTGATTGTTTTTGGACTCTTTTTAATTTTAGACTTGATACGGTCATTCACTTCTCTCCCCTGTCGTTTTACCCAAATAAACCATAGATATCAAAAGACAGATTATCCTGTTTATTTAGTTCTCTTACCCATTTCTGGCTCCTTTAAACTCTCATACTTCAATGTTACAGTCTTCTCCTCTGTGCTGATGCAAAGCCAAACTCAGGCAACCCAAAAACTTTGCCAGCTTTAATAGCAAGCCCTTAGGACCGCTTCTATCTGTTTCCGCTTTCTCTGTGGGTCAAATTAGACGGTAGCACAGATCCGGGCCACTGGTCTGCTCTGACACAGTCATAAATTCTGGTAACTGGCCCCGCTGGTTCTGACGGGGCTATTTTGCAAGGTGAAGACGGAGGGTTTGGACTATAAAGGGAGCCGAGCTTCCTGTGTTTTCTCAGACAACTGCTACACTGCAAAAAATTTCTATCTTTAAGAGTCATTTAAACTGGCAATGGAGTCGTGAATTCTTGTTTTGATTAAAATGAGAGAAAGAATCTGCCAGTAGGGTGAGGTAACCTCACTGTTTTCCATGGCAGACCCTGCAAGGCAAGCTAAAATATCTTAAAATAAGGCAGATAACTTTATGTGTCTCAAGATATTTCATGCACAAAAAGCTGAATTCAATACAAATCCCCACACTCTCTATTTCCCTTCTACGCAGAGACTCTATGTTGGTTTAATGTCTCCGTCAGATGCACACTTTTTGCAGTGTGAACCTCCCTGTCCATTCCCATGGCTTGTGCCCTTCTGTAGGTCCACAGCCAAAGCCCTAAAACCTTTAAAGCCTTGTATGACTCTAACGTAAGCTCCTTAATAATTTAATTCTGTTTGGAATCTGGCGTGATTGGAATGGATGGGATTATCACGTTTGGGGACTAATGCTGCAGGTTCAACAGGGGTTAGCCAGTGTAACATGGTAATAAAAGCAAGTGGCATGTATGGGGAAAATAATTAAATGTGCCAAGGAAAAGACACAGGGGAATTAAAGTAGAAATGTCACTCAAAGTTAATATACCACAAATTATTAACTGTGAGCGATTCAATTTGAGTGTATGTTGCATTTGGAAATTGCCTTTCTCAAATAGTCATTCACACTTTAAGCCGCTATTAGTGGTGGCAATTAAGTCCAGATTTAAAGTTTTAAAGCAAGAATGTAACTGAAGGTGGCCATTGTTCCCTCAAGTCACAGTTAGGATAACAGTTAATCAATACTGTTGATTAATAAATGCTTATGAATTCAACTTTTCGTTTTTTATGTAAAAAGTTACATAATCTCTTTCTAAATTAGATAAAAGAAATATTAGACACAAAGCATCATAAAATCACAGTATTATTTAGTTCTACCTACTTAGGAAAAGTACTTATTTTGAAGATTTCTTTCCCAACTTCCTTTAGAATAAAAAACAATTAAATAGTAAGATAATAAAATGTGTAAATATAAAACAAGATGAAAAGATGTCCAGTTTGGGGATTTATACTGTCAGATTAAGTTACAGGATTAAATGCCACTCCACAGATTGTGTCAAACATTCATGTTTTATTGAGCTGAAACTAAGCTGTGAGTGGCAACATGCAAGATTTCTTTGCCTTGACAGCAGCCACAATGTCCTGAGTGTAAAATCAGATACTGCGCAGTAAATACAGCTGTCAGATAAATAGTCAGGTCAAAAGTACAAGTCTCCATCAAGTAGCAGTACTTAAGAGGAACTTTTGATGCTGTAAAGTTTTATGAAAGGAAGATCTGAATGAAACCATAACTCTGATCACAGTCTCTTTCTGTTGGTGGTCTTGGCATCCCTAGCATCAACTTCAGCTCTTTTTTTTTTAATTTTACCACCTTTTAGCTTCCCTCCTCCATGCGTCTCCGTTTTTTCCCCCTCCTCTTCCTCTTCCTCCTCCTCCTCCTCCTCCTCCTCTCTGGGCTCAGCGACCACAGCAGAAGGCGTCACTCATCTGCTTATGAGAGCAGCCATTGACTTCAGTTTGACTCTTCGGCTCTGAGAGGGGTAGACGGGGTGGAGCCAGCCGTTCTGAAAAAGCATTTGCCAGCGTTGAGCTCGCTGCCTGGTCTATGTTACCATGCAACTGCAAAAAGCACACACAGGCATAATATTTACACTGTTACATTATTTTCCGCATGCGCCTCCAAGTGAGAGAGAGTCAAAGGAGTGTATACTGTAAGACAGAGGGAGAAGAGGGGAGGGGAGGAGAGTGTGTATCTACAAATATATATACATTCTGTGAAAGGCTGGCCCTCTTACTTAAGCGCGTGGGGTTAAACGTTTGTGCAAACACTCAGCCCTCTCTGGGTTGGCACATTTTCCTACGCAGGTGATGTTAAGTGTTCCACCCTGAAAAGCCTCTTTGTTGACATCATTCACTCCCGTCTTTAGTCATTCTGACCTCTTTCGGAGGCGTTCACTCCACGCTTGTCGCACAGAGCCGGCGTCTGCGGCGCATGTTTCCACTTAAGCTGCAGAGGTCGTCCCTCTTGGCCCGTGGAGACTCTGCCTATCGATGCGTAGCAGGTTCTCTGTTCTCGCCTCGCTGTGCTGGGCTGCTCACGCTGCCTTTTGAGCAGCTTCTGAATCTGTCAAGTTAGTATCTGTCTGCCTGCTGCCATCCAGCCACACCTGGTTTGAATTACTACACAAAATTTACTCTTCGACTCTCCAGGGATTGATTGCTCTTGACTGGCACAGTGGAACCAATTTCAGAGGTGCAAAACAAAATCTCTCTCCTGCTCTCAGTGCAGACAGAGAGAAGGAATTGCTTTTAAGAGACTTTACTGAGCTCTCTCTTATAAAAATAATCCCATATGAAATGTTCTGTAAATCATTATTTCAATTAGTTTAACTGATTGCTCACACATTTGGGGCTTTGTGGCATTCTGGTTTTAATACTCTTGCCATCATTGTTTAGCAATTTCTTAAGCAATCTTGCATCTTGAGAATTATCAAGTGTGTCCCATCTCATTTATTCTTGTCATCTTATTCAGTGTAAAAACATTTCTCATAAAATATGATCCAAAGTCTGCACCAGATACCCAATCCGACTGCACGCAGAACTGGACCCCATCAACCACATGCACTAATCACGTCTGTTCTGCATCCACCAGCATGCAATTAACAAAAGTGGGTTAAAGTTGTATTACCATTTTAAATGTTTGTTCAAAGGGGTTTGCACCTCAGTAAACATGCGCTGCACACAGCACGCTCTTGTTTACCAACCTGGCCGCTCTGTGATGTTTTATACCAAAGGATATCAAAGGAGGGAGTGAGGGAAGAGATCTGACGCTGGAGAGGATGGTTTTCTCCGGACAGAGTGCCCATTTGTGAAAATAGGAGGATTTTTTTTGTGTTAGTGATGGTGTCATTCTTCTCTGTTTTAGCTTTGGTTTGGAAAATGTTCCTGTATTTGTCTTGTAAAGGATGAGTCCTGAGACATATTCATAAACTTGACTTGATACTGTATGTTATCAGACGTGGAAAGGATGTCGATCATCCCTGCAAACATGACACCAAACCCCCCCTTGAGATTTCTTGAGATTTAGATGTGTTGTAATGACATATCCTAACTATTCTTTCCCTCTTCCTCCCCCCCCTCCCCCCCAGCTGAGACACCAGCAGTGGAGTCTGGTGATGGAGAGCGCCGTGCCATCAGACCGGGGAAACTACACCTGCGTGGTGCAGAACAAGTACGGCGCCATCACCCACACCTACCAGCTGGATGTGCTAGGTAAACAACACGGAAACATTTACTTTCATTTCTGCTTCTGTGTAAACAACGAATAAATTAACATGCACAAGTGGTTTAAAAAACCCACGAGAGTTGATGATGGAGGAAAGATTTTTTTTTTTAAAGAACCTTACATCTACATTTCCTGCAGCACATCATTCCCATGAAGGACTTGCGCTAATGACTCCATGCTTTCTGTCTCAGAGCGTTCCCCTCACAGGCCCATCCTCCAGGCAGGTCTGCCAGCCAATCAGACGGTGGTGGTGGGCAGCGATGTGGAGTTCCACTGTAAGGTTTACAGTGACGCCCAGCCGCACATTCAGTGGCTGAAACACATTGAGGTCAACGGCAGCCGCTACGGGCCTGATGGCGTTCCCTATGTCAACATCCTGAAGGTGGGTCTGCGGCCTGATGCTCTAATGAGTCCGAGTCTGCCGGGAGTAGATTTCAGCCTATGATAATTTCACTCGTAATTAATCTCTCCTAAATGTCTTGTTTAATGAGTTTTTACAGTAGGAAGGTCTGCAGGGCCCGCAGGCTCCTTTCAGTGCAGCGTATAATTGACGAGCTCAGCCCTCGAACACTACACCTTCATTATGGGAAAGAAAAGCTTCACCTGCACTTTCCTACGTACTGCAGCGTATCGAAATATATGCTCATTAACCAAATTATATCACTGTGAATCACAGTCCAGGTCTCTGTTCTGTTTGACACCTGCAGTGCTTCAGCTTTGACAGAACGTAAAGAGATTATGCATTTTGGGACTTAATTCTAGTGTTGGCCTGATCTGGTGGAAGTGGATTAAATTAAATTAATTTGTAATTAAAGGTGGATTTTTGGTTTTCCTTCAAGGTGTTCCAGTTCTCTTGCTGTGAAGCCCCCACCATAGTGTAGGATTTTACCCACTGATTGCCATAGCATTACCACAACAACAGGTGGATGTGTCTTTAATGTGTTAATATAGACTGACAATGGGAAGGTTTGCATTGATAACTTGATTGCAAAAAGGGATCCAAATGTATCAAATTCCCGACATTATGAACTTCTTACCAACATAAATGCATTCATATTGTTGTAAAAATGTCTATAAACTGACAATAGTTACAACAACCAGTGGGATTTAACCAGCAAAACAAACAAACAAACAAACAAACCTGAGAGAGGAAGTACATGCATGGTTACATTTATCATCACTGAGGTAAATCTGATCATTTGCTTCATCAAGGTCATATTTTTCCAGCCTTATTGCAAAAGTTACTTGTAGCTACTGAAAATCAATGTTTCAGTCACTTTGTGATAGATTGACAGCAGCCACAAGGAGAAAGTTTTTCTTGCTGCATCATAAAATCCATATATTTGAAAATGATTACTGAGCTTTTTTTCCATTTTGCTTTATGTTGTTTTCACTATCAACAATCTCTGCATGAAGGAGAAAACACAAGCTGTTCTCATCATATGGTATCTCCATAGCCCTGATGTGTACGTTCTTCCCAGACCTTTACTTACTGGATGTCTGAGCAAATAATAGACAAAAACAAATAGCTTAATTCTTTCAGAGATAAGAAAAAGGGCAGATAAAGGAATGAAAATGCCAGAAGACAAAACAAACAAACAAAAACAGAAATATATGAGATAGTAGCACCCTGGCAAACACATAAATCAACCTTAAAGGTCATATATTGTACATTCTGAGGCCATACCTGCTTCACTAGTAGTCCAACTTTGATAAAACTTGCTGAATGAAAGCAAGTAACATGCAAGCCTGTGAAAGAGTGTGTCTACCTGCCTTGCATCTCCAGGTATATGTGTATTAATGTCTTTTATTCTGATATGTGTTTTTGGCTCAGATGAATTGCGTGCGGGTTGTTTGTCTGCAGCCTTTATGGTTGCTTGGATGCTGCATCTTGTAGCTCTTTAAAAAGACCTTTCTCAATCACAAGCGCTGCCTCGTGAAATAAAGGTTAAGTAAGCGCAGCGGGGAAGGCGTCAGATAGTCTTAGGAGGGTTTGCTCCTGTTAAAGAGCAACTCCTGGAGGTGTCATCGCCTCCCCAGGCAGTGTTGATGTTCAAGAATAGAGTAGAAAGCATTCCTCACCATTGAGGACAACACCCTGAACCCGCTGTGAGGCGTGTTTTTTTTTTTTTTTTTTTGGAGAGAAGAGAGGAAGACTCCCATAGAAAAAAACCAAGAAGGCCTTTTGCTTTCTTATTTGGCCTCTCCCTTTTCTTTTTTCTGCCTCTAGAGAGAGCGAGGGAATAAAACAAACATCTGGTTTGGACTAAGTTAACTGCCGTGGTGGCGGCAACGCAGGGAGAGAGACGGGCTCTGTTAACCGCCGCTGCCGTCAGATGTGCTGCGTCGCGTGGTTTGAGGAGGAGGAGAGAGGAAAGAGGGAAGAGGCACCCAAAAGACCCATGGAAAAAATGAGTGGAGGGAACACAAGGAAGGGCAAAGTCAGCAGGGAGAGAGAATGTGTGACAGAGTGGTGGGTAAAGATGGAGGGCGAGAGACTCAGAGAATGAGTGGGAGGGGGGGTGAGAGAGAAATTGAAACAAGAGAAGAGAGAGAGAGACAGAAATTGTGTGTGAGAGAGAGAGAGAGAGAAAGAGAAAGAGTGACAGGAGACAGAAAAAGAACCCATATTCAGACGTGGAATCTCTAACACTGTCATCTATTTCTCGAAGTGATGGATTTGAGGCTTTCAAACTTAGTTCTACTTTATTCAGCAATGAGTTGGAAAATGATGAAGGTAGGAGAGTGTCCTCAGGCTCTTGGGCAATATTCTGCATCAATGATGGATTATTTTGCAACTGAAGCCTTAATTAATAACCTTCATGAGGAACGCTCATCACCCCAGCTTCTCACTGATGGTCCTGTAACAAGTTTTCTAATCATATTTTAATCATTTATTAGCTGGAGAATAGAATGTATTTATACTGTGAACAGATGGGATTTAGGGGGAAACTGATGATTATTGATGATTTTACTAGGATTTATGAGGAAAAAAAAAAACACTAAATATGATATGACATTAGAAGAACCCTGACAACTTAAAGGAATAGTTTGAAATAACTTTATTCACTTTCTTGCCAAGAGCCAGAAGATTGAAACCACTCTCATATCTCTACAGTATACGTGAAGCTACAGCTACTTAGCTTAGCTTGGCCTAACAACTTAACTAATTAAATGTTGAACTGATCCTTTAAACTTGGCTCATCATTGACAGTTTTTCATGATTTATTAACCTGCCTGAAACAGCCATTAAACTTTATTGTCTTGGTGCATAAGAAGTGATAATTAAATGGCAAATTTATGACAGTGTTCTAAGAAGACAGAACAAGACGTCCATTTAATATCTCTCTGTTTATTTAACCTCTTACGTGTTGTGGCCTTCACATTAATGTCACAGCATTTGACTTGATCTGAGTTGGAAACGTTTCTGGATCTGATTGCCATCGCGATTTTTATGGCATGGTGACTCAAACATGAGGCCGATACGTAAAAATTCCATTTAAGAAACAAGGTGCATGTCTGGAAGTGGATCTGAAGTGAGAGAAAGAGGTGGTGACACAGTTAGAAAAAGGAGTAAGATGAAGGAGGGAGAGACAGAGAGGAAGAAGAAGAGAAAGAGGAGGAGAAAGACAGGCCAACAGAAAGAGAGAGGTTTGGGGGGGGGGGCTGTCAGCCCAGACCGCGGCTCCACGCTCTATTTTCGACTACCACATAATTGAAACAGTATTTTCTGAGATGTGTGTGTGCCTCTCTCTCTCTCTCTCTCTCTCTCTCTCTCTCTCTCTCTCTCTCTCTCTCTCTCTCTCCCTCTCTGGCCCCACCACAGTTCATTCAGACTCTGCGACATCTCATGTGTGGCATATACTGCAGGAGTTAAATACAGCTGTGGGTGGGAGGAGGGGGTCATGCAAGATTTTTTTGAGAAATGCCTGAATCGCTCTTTTGATGCCTGGAAAAAGAGTTAACGATGAGCGACTCGCCCCGGCGTGGGGAGGGAGAGGGAGGCGTCTGAAGCCGAGCCCTGGATGTTCATTAAGCAACCATAAAACATGATATGTTTTCTCCTTTATGTGCTTTGCCCGTTAAATTATTCATCGGCAGTTTCTCTGCTGGAGAGCCCGTCACAACCAATGTGTGTATGAGCAAGTGTCAGCGTGTTTGTGCATGTAGCGCGCACACTTTGAGGAGATTGGCATACTGTAATGCCTTTCATCTACCAATAGACAGCTTGTGTTACTATGCAATGTATGGTGTGTATGTGTGTGTGTGTGTGTTTGTGATCTTACAGGTTTGATGTTGTAATGCTTTTAATCTCACAAATAGACAACCTGCTTCACTATGCATGTTGTGTGTGTGTGTGTGTGTGTGTGTGTGTGTGTGTGTGTGTGTGTGTGTGTGTGTGTGTGTGTGTGTGTGTGTGTGTGTGTCCAGGTTTACATATACATTAGCAGTAAGCCTACAGTATGTAAAACTAGTTTTGTAGTAAAAGTACAGCAATCGTATTATACTTAATAGAATAATTTGATATGTCAGGAAACACACTTATTCAGGTTAGATAAGAATTCAATTTGATGACACTTTTGACCAATAATTATAAAGTGAAACTGGCAGACAACAAAAGAAAGCTCATATGTAACTTAAATTAAAGTTAAATTTGACTGGTACCCAAGCAGATATCAAGGCAGCAAAATACAGTAAATTCTAACTAGCAATATATATAATTTCCCTTTTGAACTGTGAAATAATGAAAGTATAAAAATAAGAAAGTACCTCGCCTGCTTGCAGTATATTTGAGTGTGTTTGTTCTACAGGGTTTGCATATATCTACATGTGTTCTTGCAGGAATTTGCTGTAAAGGGCCTCACTGTGCCTCTCGATTTTCCCTTCACAGAGTGTTGTCAGTATACACACTGAGGCCCATAGTAAGTTGAATCTGTCCAACGTGACAGAGACAGACGCTGGGAAGTACTGGTGTCGCGCCTCAAACTTTGTAGGCAAGTCGGAAAACGCTTTCTGGCTTAAGGTACACAAACCAGGTAAATCCTGAGCTCCCAGCGACTTCACCACATTTAATCCTCTGCTGTGTCTCCTCCTCTCTGCGGGGCTGCTCTTGGTTGTGGGTTCGATTGTCTCTGTGGCTTGCTAATAGGACAAACACGCACACACACACACACACACACACACACACACACATATTCCTGGGCTGGGATCTGAGTTTAAATGCTCACATTCTATTAGCTAGTAGCTATCATCCATTTTAACATCCAGTGCCACTTTGTCTTCCTCCCCGATCAATAACAAACACAATATCACACCTTTAATTACTGCAATAACTTCAAAAGCATCGCCCTTGCTCCCCTACAAACACACACACACACACACACACACACACACACACACATATATAAAAGCCCACGTAACCCCCACCAACCGAACCATGCTGCACACACACAGACGAGTATTGATTTCCCTGGGAGTGCATTCTCCAGCTGTATTAATGCACTTTTATATGAAAGCAAGCAGCAAGACTCTGATTCATGACTGCGTCTGTATGTCACTGTTCATTACTGAGGCCTGGGGAATGAGAGTCCCTGACCCCACCCCCTGCCAAGCCACATCAGACGGTGGGTTTAAAACAGACTCCCCCACTGGTCATCACACCAACCATTAGTCTAAGGGGGAAAGCCGACTTCAATGATGCCCTTTTTTGAGTAATTTCAAGGTTATTTATACATTACCATGCTGAATCTTTAGGGTATTTCCAAGTATTATAAAACTTGTCTTTCTAATACTGAATGTACGTTGCAACGGTTAAAAATATATCTTGTATCAGTAAACTAAAAGTCATCAACAAACAACCAGGATACAAGATCTTTGCAAACCGATTTGTATTTATTTTGAAAAAGCAATGGACCCAGGATTTGATCCTTGAGGCACCCCTAGAACAAAAACGTCAAGAACAAAAGTGGCTTTCTTTCAAATATACAGCTAAAAAAAAAACATTTCATAACATCCTAAATTTCCAGAGGTCGAAAAAGAAACAAAATTCTTGTTGTGCACATTTGATGTTGCCGGTATACCCGCAAGGCGCCATCATATCGATGATAGACTAGGCCTACGGTGAAGAGATCTGCTTTGCTTTGGTGTCAGGTAAACTTTACGCTGGTTTAATTTAAGCCCATGTGTTGTAGCAGCAACTGAGAGAAAACTCCAACCCTGTCAAAAAAAACAGCACTGCAAGAAATGACATCTTATCAAGTAATTTGTGTCTTTTACTGAGCTCTAAAACTCTTGTTTCTAAAACGAGATGTTGCTGTAACAATGTTCCAACTTCTATTTAGTATAATTCAACTTGTTTCAGGAATTTTTTACATGTGAGTGCCAGTATCTTGAAAGATGATAATAAAGATTGCTATATTTGAATCAAGAAAATTAATTTTAGCTAATTCTATTGGAAGCTGCTTTAAATATTCATATTTCAACGCTTTTCACTTGTTTTAAGACTTTCAGGACTAAAAATGACCTGATAAGAAGGAGACTTTTGCAGTGTGAAAAGTTTCTGGGCTGTTGTGGTTTTAGATTGAACCAGCAAGCTTCTTTCGCAGTGGGGTGAAGGTGCTGCTTGGGTGTTTTCAGGTGTTGGTGGCGGTGCTGTCAGCAGAAGAAAAGAACAGCACTGCTGACTCCTTCAAATCCTCACTCCTGTCCTTTCCTCCAGGGTGTATTTGGTGTTTCCTCTAAGAAGCTTTGGGCTCACAATATCTCTTCTCTCTCTCTCTCTCTCTCTCTCTCTCTCTCTCTCTCATTCCTCCCTCCACCATCTCATCCCCCTTTCATCCTCCACAGACGGCTGGTATTAACACTACAGATAAGGAGCTAGAGGTTCTCTTCTTGACCAATGTGTCTTTTGAGGATGCGGGCGAGTACACTTGTCTGGCAGGGAACTCTATCGGCTTTGCTTACCACTCTGCCTGGCTGACGGTGCTTCCAGGTATATTCCTCTTCTCTCTGTGGGTCTTTGGACTCTTGTCGTCCATTTCTTCCACCTCAAATGTTTTAAACTCCATGGGACTATGATTGCAACTGTACTTTTCTTGACAATTTCATGTTTTGCTCTGTAGCATTTTCAAACCTAATTATCGTACATTATCGTAGGTTGGTGCTTGTTAACACGTTTTAAGTGCACTGCAACTGTGTCATCACCCTTTTAATTTGACTAACCGAACATGCAATCCAGCCTCCATTGAAAGACGCTTTTTAATCAGAGCAGATCGTCTGTTTAAATGTCTCAAGGCTACGAAGCAATTTAAAGACATTTCTGTGTTCAACACAATAATTACCTCCCTGGGGAGAAGCATATCACAGGTGAAATTACCTGCTTCAGGATAAAACTACATTCTGATCTATTTCTGTTTTGATCTGCTTTCTAGAAACTATTTGGGTGAAATGTGCTACTGAGCAAAGCAAAATGTCTTTTAAATTATTAAGAAAACATATTTTTAAGTATAACAATTACTATTATTATGATGATATGTTGTCATCTCGTGTGTACTTTGACTGACCTCCAGTGTTTGTGACCCCCTCCTCCCAAAGCAGTGAGCCCGGAGAAGGAGGACTACTACGCCGACATACTCATCTATGTGACAGGCTGCGTACTTTTCATCCTTGCCGTGGTCATCGTCGTCCTTTGCCGCATGAGGATGACCACGCAGAAGACGCTGCCCACACCGCCTGTGCAAAAGCTATCAAAGTTCCCCCTCAAGAGACAGGTAACAGAAAGTAGATACAAGATTCGTATAAGCATGTTTCCCTCTTTTTCTCTCTCCCTGTCTGTTCAGCTTTTAGCGCACGCATTAAGCAATAACTTCAGCATGGTCCAACGTGATGCAGATGATTTTACCACAAAACGGTAACATCTTCTGAAACTTGGGTAAAGTCATAAAAGATCTCAAATCAAGACATATCAGGAACTTGTTAAATACGTTCATTGCATCAGATGCTTTTTTAAGTTGTTGTTTCTCAAGCTGAACTGAGGCAGGATTTAGATTATTTTGAAAAACAACCTCAACAGTCAAGGAGGGAGTCACATTATTAACTCAAGGAAGCACCATGAATTAGTTATGGAGAGTCATGGAAAAACAGTGTAATTTCTCTGCATCAGTGCCACAATGAGAAACCTGCAGCGGGGGTTGTATTTGTAATATCTGTCTCTTCCAGCTCTATAACTTTGAAAGAAGAATTGCACGCAGGTTAGGACTCACGCTAGCTAAGAGTATAGATAAATAGAGAGGGTTATTGGATGTATGTCTGTCTGTCGTGGATCTCTCTCTGTCTTGCTGTTCTGATGACGCTTTGCGGACGCTGGAAGGCATCACACTGGTGACATGTGTTCACATTTATCTTGGAGCAGATTCAGCTCAGGGATATTTATGCCCTCCTGTGACTGTCAGTGTTAGTTTTAGATTTCACTCTCTGTGTAACGCACACTCGCCCCTCAACTGTTTGGAGAGAAACATAAAGTGGAGCAGCTGCATCGCCACCGCCTGCAGCCTGCAGAACTCTTCACGTCATCGCGTCTCAGGGCTGCATTCAAGACAAGCCTCAGTCAAGTCCAAGTCAAATCCAAGACCAAAGTTCAAACAGAATACAGACCAGGACAACATAGTCCTATTTGACTGGGCAATACACTGTAAAGTCTCACGGATTATAGGAATAATTTGACATACTGGTAAATATGAAGCTGGAGCCAGGAGATAGTTAGCTGAGCGTCAAGACTGGAAACAGCCAGCCTGGCTCTGTCATAAAGGAACAAAATCCACCAACCAGCCCCTCAAAAGCTCACTAATAAATGCAGTTAAATTAGTTCTCAAACCAGCTCTTTCCCCCTCGACAAGAAAGCAAATAAGCATATTTCCCAAAATGTCAAACTATTCCTTTAAGGGGGTTGTGTAAGGATGAGCAGAGATGTAGCTCTAAGCTGAACCACCGTACACGGAAAGCATCAAAGTTTCAGGCCTATTCAGTACACAAGTTTTTACAGTTTGAAATCCCTCGACTGTTGTATAACTCAAACATATAAAAAAAAATGAAAAAAGGCTTTCACCTTTCTCTGTTTTTGTCGGAACATTTTTCAAAAACATTTTAAAGGTGTGGAACAGATCTGGAAACGTGGTAGACAGACATTACTTGAGCAGGTTGTAATTTGATATAGATTATCACTTGATTCTATATCTAAAGGCACGTTTTGCAACTAAAGAAATCCATTTAACTTGTAGTCTAAGTGATAGTTTGAGTGGTAGGAATGAGCATTGGCTTTGCGAAATTGTTCAGGGGGGTCGCGCTCTCTAGACAGGCAGGGAAAAAACATCCATCAGTGGCTCGACCAGGGACTTGTCTGAGTCAAAACAGGAACAAGAATCAGACATGTTGAAGAAGGGAAAAAAGCTTTCTGAAGACCAGGCCAGAGTACCTTTGCTTTTGCAGGCTTTCCCTCTCCACACTAATTAGTTTGCCCTCGTCTTCTTGTGTATTCACTCGCTTCACTCTCATCAAAAGACTTCTATCTGAGCTTCTATTTCTTTTCTTATTATTCCCCTGTCTTATATAATCTTCAGTAAACTATCAGGGAATGCAGTTTGTCTCTCATTCTTTTGGTTTTTTGCAATATTGGTGATACAGAATGACTTGCACTGTGGTTGCAAAGATCATCTGAAATGCAGATGAGTGAAGCACTTTGGTAGCCGAATGGTTACCACACATGTCATCTCTCCCCACGTTTCCTGTCTGCCTCTTAGCACTCAAACTGTCCATTAAAGGCAAAAATTCTCCCCAAAAAATAATCTTTAAAATGTAGATGAGTTATCCATCCCGCCCCACCCTGCTGGACTCCCACTGTGTACAGAACACAGCCGCTGTGTGGTGGTTCTGTGTGAGCTCCAGCTTTCCAGCTTCATAATTGAAGGGTTGTGCTCCTCAAAATGCAAAAAGATGCATTTTAGAAAAGCTTGAAAGTCATAATTCAGTTCTTGGAAAACAAACAGATGACTCTTTAAAACCAAATCTGGCATTCAGCTTGTAAAATGATGTATTTTTTCTAATTACATAAAATCGGTCTTGTTAGGTTATGTCAGGTATAAACCTCATCTTTCAAAAGATGCTCTAATTGTAGCCTCTAAATCTTTTCTATTCTGCTACCCTCAAATAAATGCTCTTATAAGGCAGTGCAGGGAAAGATCTTATTGCATTTTTCTGTAATCTTTGCTTAGTTTTTGTAAAGCTAATCTCCTGGTTCTCTCCTTTCTTTTTCATAACTCTGAGTAAATCTCCTATAAACCCCTGGCATGTTCTATCAGATATTACTTTTCATGCCTCTGAAATTGTGGTCGGGGCTGTTTTTTAAGCTTTACCGCGTATTCTCATTTTCCTACAGTCGAGAAGTTGAGGAGGGAAGTCTGGTAAGTGGACATGTTTGTTTCAGGACCCCACCTGAAGGGGCTGAGCTGGCAGACCCTTGACACAAACAGATTGATCAAAAGCAGGGCCGGAGCCATCAGCTCCCCCACAGCAGTCAGATAAATGGTGGGAGGACGTGGAGCCCGTGGGCTCAGCGGCAGGACTGCTGGTCTGGGAATGGAGCTTGTTGATGGATAGAGACGTCCATCCCACCTCACCACATGCTCGCCCACCTCTGCATCCTCCTTCATTTATCTTTGTTACTGCCTGCCTCCTCCTGTGCACAGCCACAGGCCGGCTGTTTGTAAAAGTCACCACTGGTGTCAGAAGTCAGGCTATTTTTCAGAGAAAGTCTGAGCTGCTGAAAGAGCTCCAACATTGGTCCTGAAATGCGTGATGTTTGCAGCCTGTCGCTGCCAAAAAGCTTCATATCTTTACAACTTATTCAATCATTTATTCATTCATTTATACATCAAGAAGTTCAAACAAAGCTTAACGGGTGGCCGTTTTAAATTATTATTCAAAAATGTTCTCCTGTGAAGTTTCCAGTTGACAGTTTATATTAGATACTATATTAATTATATATTATATTAGAGCTTAAACATTTTGAGCATCCTACGATGAAATGTTTGTTTTAATTATGTTTACAATTTTAGTTGCTGGGTTATTGGCCTTGTCCTTGATATTTAAAAGCAATTAGACTCTTTAAATAGTTAATTTAACAAGCTAATGACTATGAATTTCTTTCAAGCAGTTTTCATGAAACAATTTTGACTTGAAAAAGATCATTAAAAAACACGTTTTAATATAAAATTTAAAATCATAATATGATTACTGCCAATTAAATCTCCCCCTTATGAATTCATATTTAAGATGTTCTTTCTGTGAATTCTAACATAATATTCGGTTCATGAGTTAAGATATTCTCTGCTGGGTCAAAGGTCATGTTAGGGTTTCTTTCTTCCCTCTGTCTCAAAGTTTAAACACATCATGTCACCCTTTTCAGAGTCTATAACATTTTGTTTTTGCACCCAAGCAGGTGTCCTTGGATTCCAACTCCTCCATGAACTCCAACACCCCATTGGTCAGGATCGCCCGCCTGTCATCAAGCGACGGACCGATGCTCGCCAACGTCTCAGAGCTGGAACTGCCCTCCGACCCCAAATGGGAGTTTCCTCGAACACGGTAAGAAACTCTGAAAAATAGTTCATTTAAAATAGTCCTCTATTTCCAGATTCATTACTGCTGTTTAAATGCCAGTCAGACGGAAAACATGGTGGTCTGTGGCTTTTTTTCACACTGCCAAGCAACATATTTCAGAACTGACAGATACTGCGCTGTTGTCCTCGTACTGCTATGTGCTGTGAAAACATGTGAGCCGTCAGTACATCAAGGTCACCATGACACCTTTCTCCATGCTTATTGTACTTGGCAGTCAATTCAGTCTCATTCAGAAGTGTAGAGAGAAATTAAAAATCAGCCTTTAACACTGCCTGCAGCAAAAATCCATGCTCTAAGATCGTCTTGCTTTTGTTTCAGGCTAACTCTGGGCAAACCTTTGGGCGAAGGCTGCTTCGGTCAGGTAGTGATGGCCGAGGCCGTCGGCATCGACAAGGAAAAGCCCAACAAGCCTCTCACTGTTGCTGTGAAAATGCTGAAAGGTTAGTGATTGTTGTGGCTGCAATCCAGGAATTAATACACGACCTTGAGAGTGACTGCGATGGTGCTGTGCTCTGTGATTTCCTGAAGGAAATCAGCAGCGTTGTGTGTCTCCTTTTCACATGCATCCCCTTTCACTGTAAACATAATAATGTATCTAGTTTGTCTGGTCTCGTATCTCCCATATGCTCCAACTGCAGTCTTTGTTCTCCCCCGCATTTATCTGTATTTTTGTCCTTTGCAACTATCTGTTTAGTGATTCATTCATTCCATTCTCTTTTTGTTTGTCTCAGATGACGCCACAGATAAAGACTTATCCGACCTGGTGTCAGAGATGGAGATGATGAAGATGATTGGAAAACACAAAAACATTATCAACCTGCTCGGAGCGTGCACGCAGGACGGTGAGGCCACAGCGCACTACGGAGGAGATGATTAGCACAATAATTAACTGTGTTCTTGAAGTGACTTTGTGCTCTGTGTTGCACGCAGGTCCTCTGTACGTCCTGGTGGAATACGCCTCTAAAGGCAACCTGAGGGAGTACCTGCGGGCGCGGCGGCCGCCAGGAATGGACTACTCCTTCGACACCTGTAAAATCCCTGACGAGCAGCTCACCTTCAAAGACCTGGTGTCTTGCGCCTACCAGGTCGCCCGAGGCATGGAGTACCTCGCCTCTCAGAAGGTCAGCCGCCATGACGCTGTGACGCTGATGCTGAAATGCAAATACAGTTTGATTTAACTGAGCCATTGTGTGTGGATGTATGCATGTTTTGGAGGAACTGTCCTCATAGCTTCAGCTTTAACTTAATTATTATCCTGAAGGAAATAAAAAGACAAGGAAAATCTTAACTACTTAAGAATGCTTTGGCCAGGACTTACCTTTCTAAACTTTCTAAGAAAATAAGGAAATTAGAAAGGCTTTTTGGAGCATGTTAGAGAAGGCCAACAAACTGTCAGTTAAATGTATTATATATAATTTAATATCATTTTAAAGAGCATTTTCTTTCAACCATGTGTGACCAGAACTGATCTTTGCAGCGTTTAAGTTATTACTTAAGGTTTATGGACAGAATTATAATTAGGAATCAAAATCAGTTTTAAGGTTAGTTACTGGTTTTGAATAAGTTTCAGGGTTGGAACGAGGTTGCAGGATTGGGGTCAATATTCAGAATGTAAGGGCGAGTAATACAGTCTGACAATGGTAGATGAAAGTTGTCAGTGTGTGTGTACGTGTCTGTGCAATCCGTTGTGTCGATGCATGTTTGATGTGTTTGTACTTCCTCCCCCAGTGTATCCACAGAGACTTGGCAGCCAGGAACGTCCTTGTGACGGAGGACAACATTATGAAGATCGCCGACTTCGGTCTCGCAAGAGACGTGCACAATATAGACTACTACAAAAAGACCACAAACGTGAGTCTCATTCCATCATCTTAAATAGTTCCAATAGTATCGGCTGATCATTTTAGGCTTTAACTTGCATAAACAGAGAGCAGGATCATTACATCTATACCATAGCTCTTAGAGGGAAAGTTGTAACTTAATTTTCCCCATTTGAAAATTAGATTTTTTCTTCCAGTGTCGCCGTCACTTCATGGAAGGAAAGTGAGATCAAACACTTGATAAGTAAATAAATTATACAAGATTCTCCAGCTTACAAAATCGATTATGAGATAGAATACTACTGATGCTGATTTTGTAAAAATGCTTTGAGGACTCTGACCTTTCAGAAGGTTTTTACACAGACGAAACAAACATTAGTCATATGAATTTGATGTTCAAGCAGGTAGAGGCATCAAGCGTTCAGTTTACAAAGAACAGCTCAAAGAGATCAGAAAATTGTGTTCAAGGCCAGGAAAGACAGCATACATTGTGATATTAACCAAGAAATTGGAAGATATTCATGCTCATATCAAAATATCAATATGACGAATTTCCCTTGAATGTTTAATAGATTTTTCTGGCACTAATGAAACCTTTAGAGGCACATTTGTAGAGTTTGGAGTGAAGATTATAAAAACTTTATACCTGCTAAATGAATGTGACTGAGATTGTTAAGATGAGAAGTTCAAGGTCTCAGGACAGTCATGACAGGATGAGGCCAAACTCTGCATGCCTGTATGGGTCCATGTTTTGATGTCTGCTCTGTACAGAATGGTTCTGCTGACCCAAGCGGTTCTGTTGTGCCTCTATTGTTACAGGGTCGTCTGCCCGTGAAATGGATGGCTCCGGAGGCCCTGTTCGACCGGGTCTACACGCACCAGAGCGACGTGTAAGTTTGCACAAACCAACCGTCACATGCCCACTGTGCACTCATGTGGGGCTGCTGTACACCGGAGGAATCCGGGTGTTGAAATATCGTGACCGAGCGTGTTAGCATCAAAAGCTGAGTTTGTGCGTGTGAATATGGAATCATAGCGTTCCCTCTCCAAATATCTCCCGCTCGCTGTCATCTGCGTTTGCTTGATAATCCTGAGCTTCTTGTGTATAAGCGGCTCTGCATTCCTCGCCGCGTTTGTTCTTTAATCTCCCAACACGACATCAGAGAGAGACAGAAACACAACGGAGCTCCAACATCATACTGTTGTTTTATCAGCGTAAATCCAACCTGCCCCAGACCAGAAGGAGATAAGAGGGTCAGTGTATTTAACACAAGGTGTTCCCCTCAGGGAGTTTTTCCACAACGATTCAAAGGTATCAGGGGAGACAAACACACCCTCTACGACCTCTGATTGCTCCTGTGTTGGCTGTGATCAGGACAAGAAAGGCGAGTTTAGGCGAGGAGGTCACAAAGTCAATCTGTCTTGCGGTAGCTGAACCCCCCACCTCCCTAAACTGCTCCTCGCCTTTCACCCCCCCAAGTCGGCTGTAGCCAGACGCTGTGTCCCCAGCACAGCCATCCAAGCCAAACACAGGCCCCTGTCAACACTGGCTCGCCGTGTGATTACACTAGACTGGGAACGGGCCGAGAGGAGAATCAGCCTGCTCTGTTATTTCAGCAGGTCTGGATTACAGAGTCAATCCTCCCGCCAAACCTCCTCCTCCCTTTATACAGTAGTCGCTCTGCAGCCAGTTTACTCTCACATGCCCCGGGAGACTTTGACTTTTGACCTGTGATGGTTTTTACTGAAATATGTTACGCTGAAACAGACGGGGGGACAATTAAAACACATTAAAACAGATCTGTCACACACTCACAGTCAGACAACAAGCTAACAGCGAGAAAGGGCTGAATTTAAGGAAACTTTTGCGTGCAGCAGCTCACATGGCACAGTTGGCATTGCAGTTCACGCAGCTTTCCAAACGTTTATAGCTCTGAAGGCAGAACTGGCCGTGAGAACACTCAGGGAGCCCTTTTTGTAGGATCTTTACACTGTCCATTCACAGCTTTTTTGTGCAAACAGTGTGCCTACAAGTAATTTGCTTCATCACGTTGTGATTCCAAGTGAAATTTTGACCTGAATTCCCTTTTTTCATTTACTTTTAGTGATTCAGTGCAATATAGACCTCTAAATTCTTCAGCCAGTGCTTTTATCCCACCACCAATATCATGGAGGTGAGGATTTTATTTTGAACAGCTTCAGAGGTGTCAATCTATAAAAGCAGCAGAGAGCAAACCTCACTGCAACCTTCAGTGCGACACGCTGACCCGTTAAAAGCACCCAAAGTGGATAAGGTGTTGGCCAAAAACCAGGTGGTGTGTAAAAATATGCAGCATAAGACGAGAGCTTTTGGCATTGACTCATTCACAGAAACGATTTAAAACGATAGAAAAACCGCCACAGAAAATAAATGGATCACTTTCCAGTAGAACAACAGATCTTGATGCTGGTAAGCTTGTAATGTCATTTTACATTGTGGACTAATACAACCAGAGATATTACAGGATTGGCTTCCTATTATCATTTTGCCTGCCGATAACTAATACAGCTGATACGATTGAATACGAGATTGAAGCTACAGAGGGAAGTTGTTGCTTGGATGCCATCATTTGTTGCTAGTGGAGAGCTGTGATAATTAGTCAATTAATTGATTGGTTGTCAGCTATTAGATTAATCACACAATAACAATACGTGTCCAAATTCTCTGATATTCTTTGGTTTCTTAAGACAGCTATGAGATACGTTTGCAGATGTTTCCTTGGGCTTTTGTGGACCAAACAACATTTTATCGAGAAAACGATCGACAGATTAATCGATCATGAAATTAACGGTTAGTTGCCGTAACAGACTAGATGGTGTTGCTGTGGTGTTTTTTCATGTGAGTGAAGAAATCCAGTTGTCTTTCTTCTTGTAGGTAATGTTCTGCCTGATCATCAAGGGAGACTTTTGATATGGGAGGATGGGTATTTAGGGGGTTTTAGTGGGGAGTTTTTGTCTTTTATGTTGTTCTAGACGCAGTTGTAGATGCAGCTTTTGACCAGCAGCTTCAACCCGCAAACATCAGCATTGAACGATATTCTACCCTATATCAATCTCCCATCACGGTGTTGTTGGCCTTCATTCTCATTCTTAGACTGTCAGCTCTCATTGCTGCTGGTGCCAATGGAAAATAAGTGTTTACATCTTGATTGCCTCCTTATATTAGCCCCCTAATAGCTTGTGAAAATTCATCCCCGATGACTAGCACTGAATATTAACAGCCTGAGTGTGCGGCTACTCGTTCTTCTCGTAGTCCCTGGGATGGTCCTGAACCCATCCTGACCCTGCAGACCTGATGTGTTCACATCCAGAACACAGTAATGATAATGAGTTCAGTCGTCTGGCCAGTTACATCTGTCTTCAGTTTCTGTTTCCCCTTTTCTGCGTCTGAATATAGATGTTTCTCTTTCACCACAGTCTCCTTTCACTGTTTGCACAGAGGACTAGCCGGCTCGGCCAGTAGCGGCTGTTTTCAAGCCTCTGGACCGGAGCATGGATAATTAGATTAAGCCCGCTGAGCGCCGCAGTGGGAGGAGGGGTCTGATTCTGATTCACTGGACGAATGGCCGAACAATAAGGCACTGGGTTAATAGACCGCCATTATCTGATTACCTTCCCTCATTTAGCCATTTAGGAATAATGCAGCAGTAAACTCGAGCCCCTACCACAGACACAGAAAGAAAAAAGAGATTCCCGCTCACTTTAGATCAGGGCCTGGAGGTATTTTTGCTACCCAAGCTGAATTATATGCCACATCCGCACAAATGTGGATAAACTTGAAGTTTGTTATGTGTCAGAAGATTTCTCCCACCCTATTTTCAGTTTGCAGTTAAAACTGAACCATCAGAACAATTTAAACATGATTCAATTTCTTTTATTAGGTATGCCTAATCCCTTTTGAGCTTGACCAAATCAAGGTACTTAAAAATAGATCACATGATAGCCATACATGGTTGTTGTTTGGTTTGTTTTACATCCATGCTTAAATACAAGAATGCTGCTTTTATTAAAAGTTTGTCATTTGCAACACTTGGAACAAAGAAACACATTTATAATTATTTTTGCATTAAGAGTGGACACAGCTGTAACTCACTGGCCCGGTTTTCTAAGGATGCTCACAGGGACGTTTTTATTCATTTGATGACGCACAAGCAGGACACATAAATGCTTCCATGCTGCTTATATACTCTGATCTTTTCTCTTCAGTTGGTTTTGTCTCGATTATTTGGTTAAAAATGTTGATATTTAGCAATGATGCTAGTTACGTCTGTGCGAATTAGCCCTTAAAGATTGAGGCCGAAGAAGAAGTGCTCTATCCGCTCATGGACTGACGTAACCTGTTATATGAAAGATCTTCTAACTCACCTCTGTGTCTGTTAACAAAGCTTAATCTGTCCTCCATTTCTTTTCAATGACTTTGAGTCTTCATTCGTCTGGCTTGAGGGACGAGTTGTTGATTTTCACAGATATTGACTGACTGTCCCAGACAATAAGAATGTCAAATTGATTCTTAAATTGGGTGCAGTAAACATTATTGAAGATCAATATTCCTCCAACCAGATTGATTGGTTTATGTGGGGAACACAAGCCTCTTTCTGAACCTTGACTGCTTCAGGCCATGAATGCCGTTTGACCTCTAATCTGTATTCTTTGCATGTGTGTTCTTGTGTGTGTTCAGGTGGTCCTATGGGGTGTTGTTGTGGGAGATCTTCACCCTGGGAGGCTCGCCGTACCCAGGGATCCCAGTAGAGGAACTGTTTAAGCTGCTGAAGGAGGGACATCGGATGGACAAACCTGCCAACTGCACCCATGAACTGTAGGTGTCTTTATGAATTGAGTTTAATCGCCTCGTTTAAGGAGGCAGCTCAGTGGAGATAAACCTGATCTGAGGAGGAAAAGCATAGGAAGGAAGGAGATGTCCCCACAGCTTTAGCCAGGATTTTAGGCTTTTTTGATGTTATTATAGGCTGGTTTAACCAGTAGACTTGTAAAATGTGGTTCAAAGTCTTATTTTTTATGTAAATGACACCAAAAAAGTGAAGAAAGCTATATCAAAGCCCCTTATAATGAAGTTCATATTAAAGTTTATTACATAATATTAATTTTATGAATGAAATATGTTACCTATGACCACTTTTATTCAAAAACACACATATACACACAACCTTACTGGAGCTGAGGCCTAAATTTCAGCATTAAAGTTCACTAGTCACTGAAATGTGCACACAGTAACTGGTTGCAAAAAAATATAAAGGACATGACCTCAGTGTGTCCGTTAAATCAGATGTTTTGCATTCTGTATTAATATTCAGTGTTATATATTAGTAACAACGTTCTTAACAATGAGCATAGAAGTTATTGAACTGGAAATACCCAAAGTCTTTGAGGTTTAACAATTATTTATCATACAAAATCAGCAACTCATTTTTGTGGTCGTTGAGGACCTCCACTACTGTAAACTGTGGTGAAAAGTGTCTTATTGCTGCTGGAAACACAACAAATGAAAGTGAAAACTGGTAAAAACCAACAAGGATGAGTCTTTACTTTGCTTCAACCTTAATTACAGGCCATCACCATCCAGCTGCACATCAAGTAGACAAATACGAATCACTGGAAACAGTCCATCTAAGATCTGAGGATATTGGTTGTAGGGTATATTTAATTTTAATGGATAAAAAACACAGAGTGACTAAACTTTGATGTTGTCATTTCAGGTACATGATCATGAGGGAGTGCTGGCATGCCGTGCCGTCCCAGAGACCGACCTTCAGACAGCTGGTAGAAGATCACGACCGGGTTTTATCAATGACCTCCACCGATGTAAGTCTCCCTGCACAGCTTCTGCTCACTGCTAACATGGAAATCCCAAGAAGAACACAAAACTTTACCTTTAGTTTCACCTTAGACAACTGCGACTTTTCATTTCACAAATATTACTATATATATTTCTTTAAATAAACTCCTTCAGATTTGATTGGGCGGCTATAAAGTGGGCATGGCTCAGGGACTAAACCCACATTGTTAGATCAGATGTTGGAGCACGGAAGAGACATCGGTAAATACGAGGACGACCACATATTTTGGAAATGTGTGGAACGTTTTTGCTAACAAAAATCCAAACACATACATCCATACGATATCAGTTACCTAGCTAAAATGACAAACATGGTAACAGTACCAAATCATATTTGATTGGACAAATCAATCTTCAGGAAGAGAAAAGGGAAGGATCTGGATATAAAATCAAAACCCTAACTTAAGCATGCAGGATAAGAACATGGAGAATTTATTTTTTTCATTTCACTGTGTCTTTAAAATGTTGGTTATTTAGTGTTCTGTAGAACTTAATTACCACACTAAATATACAGTAAACTATATAATTCATCACTTGAGATTTGACTGTGTCACCCCAGTCTAACCTCTGGCGTCTCCCCCTGACAGGAGTACCTGGACCTGGCGGTGCCCTTCGAGCAGTACTCACCCACCTGTCAGGACTCCAACAGCACCTGCTCCTCGGGAGACGACTCGGTTTTCGCCCACGACCCGCTGCCTGACGAGCCCTGTCTTCCCAAACAGCTCCCCAGTAACGGGGTGATAAGGACATAAAACCTGAGCTGGGAGGGGCGGTTGGACTTTAACCTCCTCTCACAGTTTGTGACTAACAAAGACCTCTCAGTGACTCAAGCTCCTCAAGATATGGAAATCAAAACTCTGCATGCAATACTTCCACAGTGCTTCAGCTCTTTGATTCGTCTTAAACTCTTGGTTGAAATCCTCTTTCACTGAGTTTTCTTCCTCCTCCTCGTCCTCCTCCTCCTCCTCCTCGTCCCCCCCTCCTCCTCCCCAAGAGACTCTTGAAACATTGAAGGATTATTTTTTGCCGTCGAACCATGTTTGTGTTCTTCTTTTCAGAAATGAAATTATATTTTTGTACTCGGGCCAGTCTTTTGTTACGGACAATCTGTTGGGTGAAACCATTCCGTGCCTACTGGGATAAAACCTCCTGAGACTGGATAAAAAGACAAAAAGGATAAAAGAGGAGGGAATGAAGGGCATTGGTCAGGGACCGGTTGGCAATCCAGTAGGCGAGGACCTCAGATTTTTATCCTCTCGTCTGCACGGAGCCCTTGGATCGCGATAAGAGTTTGCGATCTTAAAGAAAATCCGTTGACAAGATACCAGCAAAGCCAGAATCAACACGATGATGGGACTCGTTCTTCCGAAGACTCAATAACTTGTCTCAGCTTTTACAGAAGACGTTCAAGAACAGAGAGGATAACATGAGCATATGACTGTGTTTTCTCATGAATTTGTACACCATCGACACGTTTTAGCATCCCGAAAAAAACAGTTTTGTGATAATCATGGAACAAATTCCTCATCAGATGTGAGGCGAAGTTTCAGGGCCATTCAGTTATTAATACAATAAGGTTTGGAGGTTGTTTTTTTTTATGTATCTAGAAAATGATTTATTGTAAATATATAAATGCAAATATGTATCATATTGCTGTCCTCAGCCATGTACTTAAAAGACAAAAAATTACATTTTTTAAAGTATTGTTTTAGGATGGAAGCATTGCAATCTAGAAGACACTGTCATGAAAGTGTAAATCATTTAATCATTTAAAGTGATACAGAAAAGGTTTATTTGAATAATTAACGTGTATATTTGTAAAGATATTTATAGACTTAACATGTGGTTCTTAAGTTCGAAAGGTCTAGTTTAGGATTTTAGTACTGTACGCAAAGATTTTTATTTCAATTTTTTTGTAACTTATTTTACAACAGACCTGCGATGTTATTTTTCACAACTGGCAGACTCCTCTGGTTTTTGATCCATCTTTTTTTGTTGTTTTTTTTGTTTACAGTTTAAAAAAATAAGAATGTATGACAGACGCAAAGATGATTTTTGAGAGCGAGTGTGATTCGGCCGCCAGGGGAGGACTCGTGAGTTCAAATTCGGGTTTGAAAAGTTGACGTTTGCAATATCAAAGCAACGGTTAACTCTTGCTGGGCAAGAAATGATGGCAGCGCTTCGAGATATGTACCAGAGAGGCCTTTTAGTATAACTTAAGTACTTAAAGACATATTGAACATCAACAACAACTAGCTGTGAATCATAAAAAGCCTTCAGAGAACCTCAGCAGCCTGTTTAAGTAAAAATCCACCTACTGATGCTGTTTCACTGTTCAGTCTGTGATGTTATAGATATCCAATGTAGTACCCCATATCCCTTAGTTAGAGAACAAGAGCTATTTCAGACGCAATTTCAGTGTTGAACTACATTTCCCAGAATACTTTCAAGCAATTAGAGAATGTGCTTGAACTCATTTCAGAACGAACGCATTCAGAAAAATGTGAAAACATGAAGAGAACTAGTGTTAGCAGCAGGTTTTTAAGAGCAAATGAACAACAACAAAAAAGAAAAGGGAACATTGTATTGCTTTCCCTGATCTTACTCTGCATTTAGCTGCAATGCATTTTGGGGTTTTGAGTCAAATAATAGTGCAGAATTTGTTCTCTTTTCCTCTTTAACACCGGATTTCTTCATGTGTGATAGTTGAACGTCAATGACTCAAGTCTAGAAAGAAGCTCTTGGTCCTTGATTCTGATTCTTAATTTACAAGAATAAATTAAACACACCAAATTACAAAGAAAAAAACAGAAATTCAAAGTATCTCGCCATTAGTTGGTATTTCTTGAACAGTGTCAAAGCCTTTCTAGGTGGATTTTTTTATACTTTTCTGACTGACGGCTTCAAACTCTGATATTGTAAAAAAAAAAAAAAAAAAGGTCACAGGGTCAATGCTAACAAGCTGTGTCGAGTGTCAAAGTGCCCTTGAGCAAGACACTGAGCACCAGTGTGCACACTCATGTATGAAAACATCAGCTTGAAGAAAGAAATGTAAAGCTGTTATGTCCTTTTGTGCTTGAGTGTTACTAAAAAACCTGCCCAGACATTTGAGATTTTATCGCTGCTCTATAGTATTAATACTGAAATGAAGGCATGCTGTGCGACTTACAGATCACACAGCCAAAAAGAGAAAGTATATATACAGTATATATATCGGTTTGTTAAAGGAGACTCTGAAGTCTGTGGTGGATCCTTCTTCAAACTTAAAAAAAGTGCCAAATTAGTCTTAAAAGTCTATTTCATCGAGTTCTCTAGGTCTCTGAACCAAATACTGCACTGTCGAATGTAGGCGGGCGGAGGCTACACATGCAGGGAAGGATCATGGGATTGCCAAATGGATATCTCCCCTTCTTTTTATGCTGTCGTCTCTCCAGCTGACCCCCCAAAAAAAGTGCAAGGGTTGAAATGTTTACAGTCTGTTTTTAGCAAAGTCACAAAAGGGAAAGCGATGTTCGAGTGGCATTGAAGGGTTCAGAAACATGATTCACTCGCTGCTAAATGGAAACAGGAGTAACACTTTACTGTGCAATGGCCTTGTTCCAGTGTGTGAACTGAATTTGTTTGTATTCACCCAACAAGACTGTGTCAGTACTTAACGAAATCTCCCCAATATTTAAAGTTCTTAAAAGAGTGGACATTTGTATTTAATTCCGTTGCTACACTGATTTTCTTTTAGCACCAAATTATTTACATTTTCATTGGTTTATGCACAGAAACAAGGTCTTTGTAAAGTGAAAGGTTACTCTGGGTTATTGTTATTTCTCATTTCAGTACAGTCTTGCAGTTTTGGCCCGAATCTATGAAGTGCCTGGAATAATTTAGCAAACAAAAAGGAGATTAATTGATTGATTTTGATCACATTTTGAATGTATAATCAGAAAAATAATAATTAAAAAGCAGTTCTCTTTAGAAACAGGCTATGTAAATATTAGCCACATTTTTTATTTCAAGTGAACAAGACAGACAAAAAAGGCACTTGTGTAAAGGTTGGATGGATCTAATGAAACGGATGGTGTTTTGTTTTATTTATTCTTCCATGCTGGGTAAAAGCTTTCCCTATGGTGAGAGTATTTTTATTCATAGCTATCTGCTTTTCAGTGTTGTTTTTCATTAAAGAGCCAGAAGATGATGATGATGATGATGTAGAGTAGTCATTTTACTAGATACTGATGCCCCCATCAGGCTTTGCTCCTGGCTTAATTTATCCTTTATTTTATTTTATTCAGATGCCCTCCCTGGCCTTTTTTTCTGTATCCTTGACAAGCTTTTTAGTCTGATGAATTTGACTCTGTGTTAAATCACCTTTTAAAAAAGTATGCGTTGTTTTTAACATGTGTCTTTGTTATGGAAGCAAATAAATCGTAACACTGGCTTCCGCCGATCAGCGGACTTAACAGCTCATAGAAGCAGTTAAGTCACTGAGTCTGTAGAGTCCATAAATCCCCTTGGAAATCATAAAAAAGATCCTTATAACTGCAGAACTTGAGAATCATCATGTTTTTAAGTTTTCTTCAGTATCAAAGTAATACCTAGTTGTCTGTTCATCCACGGCTACACTGCAAACAAGACCTCATAGCTAATTCGGCTTATTTTTTATTGTGCTAATTTGCACAAAAATAAATAATAAAAAGCAAGTAGCCCATATAGCGTTGGTTATATACAACTATTGAGGGCCCATTGTGCTGTTAAGTTTGTTTTTTATACACAAAGTATAGCTTGCTAACATTAGCAGTGATTCAACGTTACCAAAATTGGACATTTCGTTAGACAGCAGGACGGGATGAGCTCCTTTAAATTATGACGCCGCTTAAACAATATTGATCATCATGACAGATAAGAAATTCCTCGGGGAAACGCTGAATAGTATTTGTATCAGGAATATATCATTAACCCTAATGCAAAATGATTAGCATTGGCCATGAAAATCTGCGACAGATGTTAAAAACAACAAATCCTTTTTTTTAGAGTGAACATGTTTTCTTTGCTATTGAATGAATAAACACCACGGCCTCAGCAGGGAGGGACTCTTACTGTATGTACAGTCACACATCAGCCTTTAACCACCTGTCGTCTCCACTCTGACTGACTTATTTATTCTCTTTTCCGTTCGACAAAAAGAATATCAGGATTTGAAACTGGGAGGAGAAAAGGGTGAGACACACCTTTCCCGCCAGAGATATCAAAACGATACATAATCCACGCTGTTTGTTTGTTTGTTTGTTTATTTGATTTTACTTTTTACAGAATGGTTAGTTTTCACCAGGCTCTCCGTTTTCATCTTATCATGCAGTTCTAACCCGACGATGTTAGTCCAGATTAATTTATAGTTTGAGATATGCTTTTTACGTTGCTGATGTACATGAGTAGAGTTTTATGTAGCTGTGTGAGCTATTTTGTAAGAATTTTAGCGAGGAAGTGATTTTCGTATACGGTTGATTTTCCTTTCCGTGACGTCACGTTTCATTTTGCATTCCACATCAGGTTTTTTTTTTTTTTTTTACAACAATAGTGAGACAAAAATCATGTTTGTCGTTTGTTTTTTTCCCCACATAATTTATTTTTCCTCCCTTTGTATTCATGTTTCTAACATAGAAAGGTGGAACTAACCATTTGGCATTATGTGATTTTTTTTATTTTTAATTCATAGCTTGTTTGTTGCAATGTACCTGTTTTGATCATGATAAATCCTCTGTAACATTCCACCACAACAACCCCTCTGGGCAATCATCTCCCACTGGGATAAAACAACTATTTCTCAACTCTCTCTTTCTCTCTCCCCCTCTCTCTCTCTCTCTCTCTCTCTCTCTCTCTCTCTCTCTCTGTGCCTGACAAACTATGCTGTCAAAAAAGGTTTTCAATAAACATGTTATAATAGCGTTTGCTGTCGTTGCTGTGTCTGTCACTGAGGGCATAAATTTGGAAAAACAAACAGGTCCCGTGGCAAAAACAAGTCAAACAAACCCAAACAGACTTTGTGATTCATGGTGAAAAAACTCCGAAGTTTAGATGTTTATGTTAATGAAATGAAACTTAAAATGCCGCAGAATACACACGTCAGTGAATTTGTTTGCAGAGTGTCTCAGTTTGTTTTGTCTGAACTCTTTGTTGGTACAGTCGCAGATATCGGGGATTGTTTTCCTTTTCCACAAACTTAGCTAACTGTCGGTTGCACTGAACACAAACCAGCTTTGGACATGGACTGTAACAAGAGTCTGCAGCCATGCCAGCAGCTCTCCCAGGCTTTATTTGGGCACTAACATGACAACACTAAGCAGGTACAAGGTTCACATCTTAAAGCTTACAAGTGTGTTAACATATGCTAATTAGAACTACATTCAACGTGCAGCTGGGAATATTATTGGTTTTGAAGATATTTAGTTTGGACAAATTTCAATTATGACCTGAGTTAGTTATTACAACAAAACGTGACTTCAAGTGAGGGGATCAGGGGAGTTAGGAGTCATCCTCTGGGACCAGAACCAAGGTGTCGTCCCATGGCTTGGTCATATATAGCCTAGTATATATGAAATAAGTGTGGTCTACGTGCATGTAAACTAAAGACAGCTACATTGTGGCTCTTGAGGACACCGGAGCTCTATATCCTGAATAAAGAAGTGAGTTAAAGCCTGTATCTATGAACTGCATTGAACCTGGTGAATGGGGTGTTCACCCTCGGGCAACGAGCAGAGACTCCATTCGCTATTCGCCAAGAAACGCACAGCAGCACGTAACCTCCCCAAATCCATCAACTTCATTAGTACTTAGTTTTTTTCAAAAATGACATATGATGTATTAATTAGTCAGTTTTTGAGGTGCTGGTTGGCATATCTTTTTACTTTAGACAGAGCCAGGCTGGCTGATGTCCCTGTTAGTTCTGGTTTAATACGTAACACAGACCCAATAGTGGTACAAATCTTTTCATGACTGTGGACACTCTCCCTGCCTCGGTCTGCAATGTGGGAGTCAGTTTCTTTTTAAAAATCTAGAACGAATCTTTGAAGTAAATTTAATTCTTTCCGGGTTTTGTTCCCCTTTTTCTTCATGTTAAGTGGGTTCAAATAAAAGAAAGGCACTTCAAATCAACTTTTTATCATTTTCATTTGACTAGAAAGCGAATAACTGTATTTCCCCAAATGTCAAACTATTCTGCCGAGATGAGTTTAAATCATAACATCATCTATGTTTAAGTGTTTAAGTGGCTGCATATGCACACAAAGAACCAGTACAACGGGGCATCTGTATGTAAACTGTGGTTATTGCAGCACATTATCCGATTTCATCCTTACTATAATTAGATTACTTCATCAGATCTGATTACTTGTGTGTATGTGAACACAGGTTTGATTTCAGTGATTGTAGTTTTATAGTAGTTTGTTCCAGTATTGATATTTTAAATGTATATTTAAAATATAAAATGTAATGACATAAAGACATGCATGAAGGATGCTGTGAGGGAAAAGTAAAGTGGATGTAGACATCGGTAAACAAGCAATGAATCTAAATCAAAGTGGTATTCTCCTTTAAATTGCAGCAGGAAATGCAGGCGGCACAGATTTCTGCCCCCAGTTCCTGTTGATTCTGTCACACAGTGAACAAATTAGCCTCTCATAGCATCTTAACTGCTCTTTAATCACGGAAAGTCTTTGCCCCTCTGTCTTTGTTTGCTGAGTACAGTTCCACGCCCTCCCTTGCCGCCTTGCTGGCTGCAGCTCAGTAAACGGCTGGTAGGAGGGGAAGGAGCAAGCAGGCAGGCAGGCAGGGGAGGACGGGGGGTTTTTAGGGTTTTTTTTTTTTTTTTTTTTAGGGGGTACTGAAGCCACTCGGCCCGGGTGGGAGGGCAAAGCTGGACAGTGACAGAGGGAGAGAGAGGGGTCTATGTATTGAGGCTTTTGGCCCTCAGCCCGTCTCAAGTGCGTCCTGAGGGGAACATCCTGCCCCTCGTTGGAACTTCCTCGGCCGGCTGAAGTGGCCCATTCACGGAGGTCTTGTGAGGGGGGCTTGTTTTCGCTGCTAAATGGATGTTTCTGTTTCAGAGGTGTTTGCGCTGGTGGACGCTTTCCATTCCTCCCCCCTTCTCCTCCTCCTCCTTCTCCTCCTCCTCTCTCCTTCCCATTCCAACTTTTCTCCGTCTCCTTTGCCCCCATTCCAACTCCCCACTCCCCTCTCTGCTAACCATTGGCTGTCGGTCATCAAACTCACTCTCACTCTTTAGGCTGCTGCACGACCTTTAAACCACCTCTCACCCAGTCTCTCCCAGAGGAGGAGGAGCTAGAGAGGAGGAGGTGTCTGCACAGTAGCTATAAAGTTATGGGTACTACTGTTTTAAGTTTGGGGGATATTTTCCCGTTGGTCAGTTTACAAGTGATGACGAGGGCAAATTCATCCTGGATAGACTCTTTACAGCAAAGGAGAGCACACAGTGAATCTGATGAATCAACCTGCTGCATTTCTTTTTCCTTTCACCAATGTGAACAATGCAAGATTTTACATGTAACACGATGAGGAAAAACAACTATATTAAGACTTGTAGCAGGCCAACCTCCATGCAAAATATGATGTTGTACCTCTCAGGAACATGCAAACAGACAAAACTTTTAGACTTTGAAAAAACTGATTTAAGAATTCCTTCAGTATCGTGTATTTTACTTTCCAAATTCTGTATTAAAGTTCTATTTTTAAAGAATTTTCTCTCATATTGTTTATGTGTGGGTCTTTTGACTAACAGAAGACTTCCACCATTTACCAAGCAGTAAAAAGACATTTTCCATGACCAGTTCCAACTGAAATGTGTCAGTTCGGATTTTTTCTTTTGATAAAAACTAAACATCATCAAACCCACAGCCAATGGTGTCTGAAAGATAACATTTGTTGGAGACATTCCTTGCAAGCTCTCATACATCCCTACATAGTTTTCAGTTACTTCAATGTGAATAGTTTGGCAGCACCTAGTGGTAGTTTGGTAGTTTGGTGCTGAACAAAGCGCACAGCATCACCTGACCTCGCGTCTCAGGAGCCTCTTAATGAAGGCAGGTGTGCTGAAATTAGTGGACTGTGGGAGACCCCACGGGGATTTCTGTTCATTCATGATTTGGTTGATGGATTCTTTTGTCCCCAATGGTTTTGATTTCTTGTAACAGCCTGTTTATTTTTCGGGAAGGCTGGTTTGGGCTTCTGGTTTCGTGTATGACGCGACAGTCAGTCAAGCAGTTTAACCTAACAACACACCATTCAAACAACAGTTGGTCCACTAGAACCACTGTGATTCATCAAAACCGTGAGTAACAACTGAAGACCATGTCTAACGTTATGGCGTCTGTGGGAGGCATTTAGGAACATTGTAAGAGTGGCCTGAACAGCCTCAGGTGATCAAGAGAGCAGATTAGTTTAATAGTGGTATTTGGCTGCTGGGTGGTTAATGTGCTCTCTGTAATCCAGTGTCTGGTGTCTCCTCTTTCTTCCTGCTATATACGGACTGAAAGACGGATGAGAGTAATCCTATATGAGAAATCACAGTCACAGATTGGGTTAGCCAGGAAAGGTTGTTTTAATATGATGTTAACGTGTAAATCAACTCCTAACAAGCCCTAACAACTGATATTCAACAAAAAAACTAAAGAAAATAAAAAAGGAAAGTCATCAAGACTTTGGCTCTCTGTAGGAAAGTAGCATTTTGCAGCTGCATACAGTGTGACAAGAACACTGTGCTCCTGAATTAAAGAGGAAAGAAGAAACAGAGCAGAAACTGACCCGGAGTCCAGGAGAAAAGCTTTCTAAAAGATTCTCATGACTCCAGACAGGCCGAGCTGAGAGGCCTCACCCGTGCTGAAAAGCCATTTTTATCGCCGTCTGGCTTCATGTGCTGCCAAGAAGCACTTTAATTGTTTCCCATTTAGTCAAAGCAACAGAGCTTCAAGCGCTCCAGTATATACAAACTATCACCCTTTTTTTTTTTTTTTTTTTTGCATACAAATTGCAAGTTTCAGCCGAGTTTTGAAAGCGCAGCCTTGTGTATTTTGCACAGTTTGAAGTTATTGTGGTGAGTCGGAGGAAAAGTCAAAGATGGCTGCTGAGCGGCCGGACTGTTTGTCTCATCATGAGGTTTCAGTGTCTTTGGTTACACAGCCATTGTGCTAATGTGGTAGTAATAGTGTGTGTGTGTGTGTGTGTGTATTTGTGCGCGCGCATGATTGAGTGTGTATGTGCGCGTGAGTGAGTGTGTATGTGTGTATATCTGTGTGGGTCAGAGGCTTTAAGTAGTACTGTGTGTGTGTGTGTGTGTGTGTGTGTGTGTGTGTGTGTGTGTGTGTGTGTGTGTGCGCTCTAAGTTCCTGAAACTGGACCTTGGTATGTTGTCACTGTAAGTGTGCCAAATCAGCGATTAACTGCGCTCCCTCTGAGACAGGCGTGTAGCCGAGTGACGTTCAGAAACAGGTGTGTGTAAAACAATCCAGTTTTCAGCGCTCCTTGGAGAACTCCAGTCCCACTGAGCAGCAGGAATAGACCTGATGATAGTTTAGGGACCAACACGGGTTTGTTTGCTGCTTAGTCTGTGGATGCCCCTCTGACAGCGGGGTTCTTCTCGGGTTTCGATCAGAGAAGCAACAATTGGTTTCCAGTATTTTTCTGACTTTTTTTTTTTTTTTTTTTTAATTCACAAACAAAGCAGAAAAACTGGGAGAAAACGAGTAAAATTCTGTGTGATGTTTTGCAAATAAATTAAGTTCAGCCTACTCAAATGAATTCACTCTAAAGCTGAACTTCATTTCGGAAGTCAATATGAAAAGAAAAACAAAGGAAAGAGTGCCACCTATAGAACCTCAAACTGCATCAACAGGAACTCCATTTATGGAGACATTACAGCCCCGCCCAGACTGTTTGG